TCACAATCCTCAAATTTTGTACTAATACTCTTCTCTTTGTCTAATTTCAAATTTACATGTATCGATTTCTTTCTTTCCAGGTCTGTCCAGATAGTATTGGGTCTGCTGTATTGTATTTCCCCTACTCGCAGCCACTCTGGGCCTTTCCACCACCGTTCATCATTTTTTAGCTCTTGCAAGGATTGCCCTCGTGAAGCAGAGTCAGCTGGGTTTTCTGGTGATATGACATGATACCAATTATGATTGCCGATGGTGTCAAGTATTTCAACAACTCTGTTTCTTACGTAAGTGCTCCATCTTGCAGGATCACCAAACAACCAGGAGAGTACAATGGTTGAGTCAGTCCAAGCAAATATCTGGCAGGCAGGTACGTTCATTGATTCCTTTATCTGGTTTAAAAGACCAGCAAGCAGTACAGCGCCACTTAGTTCTAGACGAGGTAGGGATTGTGGTTTTGTAGGTGCAACCTTGGTTTTAGCAGCGATGATTGTTGTCTTCACTTCACCTCTTTCTGTTCTTACTCTTAGGTAAGCCACTGCAGCGTAAGCTCGAGATGATGCATCACAGAATCCGTGGATAGTAACATTATTTATTGTGGCTTCAGTAGTATTTAGCCATCTGTTTACTTCGATATCTGGTAGGTACATATGAAAAGAATCTCGTATATTGTTCCATTCTGCAGCAATCGTTTCGTCCACCTCCTCATCCCATGCTACTCCTTGCAGCCATAATCTTTGAATCAGAAGTTTGACGGGTAAGACAGATGGTGCCAACCAGCCCAGTGGATCAAATAATCTCTGTAGGTCACCCAGGATTGTTCTCTTTGTAATTATATTTGCCGTTGCAGATAGGTTTAAGCTGTATTGAAATAGATCTTTGCCAATATTCCAGTGTAGTCCTAATGCTCGTGTAATCCCGTCTAATGTTATGTCTAGTTTTACATGAGAACTTCTTTCAGACTCTTCAAATTCCTTTAGGAAGTCTGCGTCATTAGAACACCATTTTTTTAATTTGAAGCCTCCCTTTTGCAGTATGGCGTCTATGTCTTTGGCTATTCTGACAGCATCGGTGAGGTTGTCTTTCCCAGACATCATATCATCCATGAAGTAATCCCTCTTTATTATTTCTGCTGCTTCAGGATGATTTTGGCCTTCGTCATGAGCTACTTGGTGCAAGGTCCTTACTGCCAAGTAAGGAGCAGAAGCAGTTCCGAACGTGACCCTGGTAAGTCGGTAGTCTTTGACAGGATCTTGATCATCATATCTCCAGAGTACTCGTTGCAGGTCTTGGTCTTCTCTCGTAACCATGATTTGGAGATACATTTTTTGTATATCCGCTACAAAGCAGATTCTTTTCATCCGCCATCTCATTATGAGACTTCTCATGTCTCCTTGTAGCTGCGGTCCCACCAACAGCTCGTCGTTAAGTGAGATGTTGTTGTTTCCTCTTTGTGATGCGTTAAAAACTGTTCTTATTTTTGTAGTTTCCTTTTCTTCCTTAACAACAGCATGATGTGGTAGGTATACCGATGGGTTAGTCATCTCGTGTCCGGGTACCTCTTCCATGTAGTTTGTTTCGTAATCTTTCATAACCGTAGCATAATCGTTTTTTAGTTTTGGATTTTTCTTGAATCTTTGTTCTAATTGATAGAGTCTCTGCAGAGCTATTGTTCGCGTGTTTCCTTGGGTTGATAATAGCATTTTAGTTTTTTTGGGTAGAGTCACAATATAACGTCCGTCATTATTTCTTGTGGTTGTATTTTCGTAGATTTCCTCGCACCTTCGATCATCTGCTGTAGGGACTACTTTGTCGTATGCATCTTGTTCCCACATTCGTTTGAGCATATCGTTTAGGTCAAGTTTATGGTGCATAACAATCAATTTATCGGCTGGTTTGTCCTCCACGCTCCCAAAAAGAATCCAACCCAGGGTCGTATTTTGAGCACAAGGTGTTCCTGGGGGTCCCTTGATAACTTCGCTTTTCATTATTTGAGCACACACATCGACCCCTAGTAATAGGTCTACTCGTCCTGGTTGATTATAGCTTGGGTCAGCCAATACAAGTCCTTGTAGGTGCGGCCAGGTGCTGGTGGAGATAGTTTGAGTCGGCAGTTGGGTTGTCAGTTGCGTTGACATTATATATGTTTTGATCCTTATGTTGAAGTTTGGGTCGTGTCTTGATAGAAGTTCGATTTCTGCAGCATATTTAACGTTTGTTTTAGTAGAGCCAACGCCAGTGATAGTGCCATTGACAGGCGTTCTCCTTAATCGTAACATCTGGGCTGCTCTTTCACTCATGAACGTAGCCTGTGAGCCATGGTCAATTAACGCGCGCAACACTGTCACTTGTTTCGATTCGTATCCTTTTACTGGTATGAGTGCCGTAGCCAGCAATGCAGTGGACACCTTAGAGGCGACATGTGATGAAAGTGTGACATTGGAATCGGCTGATTGTGCAGAAGCTCGGTGATCTTCAACGTCGTTTTGTTTGTCTTGATTGTTATAACTGTCTAGCTGTCTTGATGACGTCATAAGCGTGAAATGGTGCGTGAGCGTGTGATGACGTTTATGACATGTTCTACAGGACATCTTTAGGCGACATCGTCGCGCAGCGTGACCAGGGGCCAGACAATTAAAGCACAGATTGTGTTTCTTTATGTAATCACATCTCTCTGTTGGGCTTAGCTTGATGAATTCCTCACAGTGACACAATGTGTGATTTTCGGTGCAAATAGGGCAAACTCTTAGTTTCGTAGAAGTCGCAGTATCATTAGTACTCGTGGATAGGTGAACAGCATACTCCTTTCCTCTATTTGTTGGTCTTTCCCTAGTTGGTGGCGTGACAAGCTCAAGAGTGCGGAATTTTAATTGTAAAAACTTATTGAGCGCGTCCCATGTAGGTAAGTTTTCAGCATTATCCTTATAAGCATCTTCCTCCCAATCACGGTGAGTCTCTGGGTCCAATTTTTGTACAACTAAAAATATAATGAGGGGGTCCCAGGAGCTCGTTGACAGACCAAGGTTTTTTAACGCATTCAGGCATTCAGTTGTAGTATCCAAAATAGATTTGAGGTTACTTGCCGTTTGTACACTAATTTTTCTTTGCGTAAACAATCCTTTTAATATTGAATTAATGATAATCCGCTTGTTGCCAAAACGCTCTTTAAGCATGTTCCACGACTCTTCATAATTAGCATCGATGACTTGAACGTGTTTCAAAAGTGACATGGCTTCTCCCGTAAGACTGCCTTTCAAATAATGCAACCTTTGTACGTTACTTAATGATGTGTTACTATGCACTAATGATGTAAACAAATCTTGATAAGCAGGCCACTCATCGTAGATTCCCGAGAAAGTTGGAAGTTGAATCCTTGGTAACTTGACATGCACTTCCTTAGAAGAACCCGAATTATTATTATCGACTTGTATAGGTGCTGAAGACGATAACTTGTTAAGCGAAAATAATAAATCATTAAGATCGGCTAGTATACAAATATATAAATCTTCCTGAATAAAATATTCTTCATTAACGAAATACGGAATATCTTGTCGTTTCGGTTTTGGAACACACTTCACTAGTTCTTCATGTGCCCTTTTATACGTAGACCAGTATTCTTCAACGCTTTTTATACGTGTTTCTATGTAACCCCTTGTTAGGCGTTGTTTCGGACATTTCTTTAAATTTGCTTGAGTTTTTCCTAACAATATAGCTGTATCTTCTAACACATTTAGTATTTGTTCCGGTGTACTAGCCATTTTCGGTATAAGTTGTTAAAATTATCTTAAAATCGTCTATGATCTCGAATGCTTCTTATTTCCGTCTTATAATAACTTATTTCTTTCCAATCTACAACTCGATGCCATATGGTGCATTAAACGTGCATAAAAACTTGTTTACGCAAACGTCTTCTTTTGTTCTAAGCTCGTCGCTCGACCCGTCCTTTTGTATTATCGCGCGGTGCAGGAACGTCGTAAGTCGAATTGAAATCCGGCTCGATTTGGACCAATATGTTCTTGGTATTAAGGTTCACTTTTGATTTTATAGGGATTTGTTAACAGAGAGACGTGTTTACTACTTGATGATTTATTTGCAACTGATTCAACAAATTATGATTTTAAATATTACACGGACTCACACATGCATACGCATTGACACTTACGCTCGCTCTTATATAGATCATTCTATCCGAACAATAATGATCTTTGAAAATAAATGCATATTTTTATATTCTACATATTTACCTTTTAAAGTATTAAATAAAATATAATTAAAATGTAATTCTGACATAATATTATGTTACATTATATTAACACAGTATGCAATATAAATAACAATTTAAAAAATTGTACTCGATACAATTTACAATACAATCTAAATAAACATTTACTTATTACATACTGATCATTCTACCTACGTATATAATCTATGATGACAAAAACCGCGCATGCGCGACTGTACTATTTACCGCGCATGCGCGAAGACATAGAGTAGTGCACAGTTTATATTCGGAATAGCTTCTCTAGTACGTAGTACATTATATCTCAATGGCTTGATAGAGCTCTATAAAGCGAAAAGTTTCGTCAGTGGTCATTGATACTGCCATTTTGTAGACACTAGTTACGACGCGTAAATTTAAAATTTAAACCATGTGCGTGCGATCACTCTGAGAGCTCGTGGCAAACTAAACGCGCGCCCAGCGTGTGGACGCAGCGGCCAAACTCTGCCACAATCCTTCGATCTTTTGTAAAAAAACCGACACCATACGGATCTCGCGCCAACTTGTGGGCAATCATTCCAATACATACCAACGTAAGCACAAACACTCGCTCTACACGATGTTAATTGGTATTGGCCACAACATTCGCCACTATGTTGGCCAACGTGAATAGCCGCCTCAAGAATGAAAGTGACACATATCCAGCTACGGACTGATACAAGCTGATAAAATAATAATAAAGAATACAAATTTTGTGTTGTTCAAGTGCGAAATATGTACATACCAGGCCACTTATTCGGTGGCGTTGTCACCGATAGCTCTTCAACAGAATATCGTCTTGGTCGTACAAGTAAATTTGTAGTGCTTGGTGTTTCAGCTATAATACTGTAAAAAATGTAAATACGTTATTTCTTTATAAACTATTTATTATTATTTATAGAACGTTATTTATAAACTATGTAGTGGCAGTGTAAGAATATCCACTACTCCATATCGTCACGTGCGTGTCGTAAGAGACAACAGAGGAAAACTGAAACAGTAGAAAGGCAGTAACTTCTTCCTTATAACAACACAAAATAATAATTTAAAAAAACTACGACAAAAGCCCCCTTTGAAGAAATATCTGGGTGAGGCCTATTTTCAACCGACGACTTTTATATGCTGTAATGGACGCAATGGATAATGGACGTTATTTACAATTGATTCAATAAAATAAATGACTAAAATATAATAACTAAATACAACTTTAATCACAAATTCTGTGCTACCTTGTATCAATCATAGCCATACAACAATAAATAAAAAGCTTAATTTAGTTTGCCTTTTTTGTTTAAGGTACAAGATTTTATTTATGGAAAGAGATGCAAATGAGCATATAAAATGATCTGCAAATTAGAAGGATAAGTTGGAAGAACACCTCCAAAAATGTTAAAAAAGTATAATTTTAACACTGTATTACTTACCAATCCTGATGCGCGTGTTTCAAGCTAAACGTGTCAGAGTCGCAGAGACTCTGGTAGATACAAGCAGACAGTGCAACAGCGAGCTCTCTTAGTGTGTGAAGTATTCTTGTAGCGGCACCGCCTGGAATCCCCAACTCTCCGATCGTGCCCAGCATATCATGCGCGACCGACTGAAAATTTCAATAAAATCATTATTATGTCATAAATATTATATATCATTACATTTTATGGATACAGAATCGATATAATTTTGTCTTAATTTTGTATAAGGTACTTTAAAAGATTTAAGTAACATAGCGCAAGGCACAAGACCAACAACTATCAGTACACCATGGTAACGATCCCATTGCCATGATCGCATCAGCGACCTTTCTCGGTATTGTTATTGATTCCGAACTCACCATGGCAGAATCACGTTACACTGTATGCCAGAGGATTAACAGGTTTGTGTTCGCTTTGTATAGTCTGCCAAAATTAGCTAACCTTAAGACAGCTCTGATGGCATAACATGGATTACGTTGGTTCTATACTGAGGTACGGACTGATTCTGTGGGGAAATTCAACACACATTTCTCGTGTCTTTATACTACAGAAGAGATGTATACGATCTATATGCGGTGTCGGTCAAACGGAATCATGTAGACCTCTCTTTAAAAAGTTAACTCTTACATTACCTTCCCTATATTACAACTCGTGTCGAACGCGAGCGAATACCTACTGTGATAGCAAGACCCTCAAAACCTATACCTACGTGAGCGACTGCGTGCGTTCGTGGATTTATACTGTGACCACAACATTGTTCCGGAATTAGTATAACTAATTTAATAAATAATCAATGTATAAACATGTTTAATTAAAAAGTCGGTGTATGTATAATGATTATAACATAATATACTAATTGGGGTGTCTGAGGGTGTGCGTTAATTACGTTATATATTGTATATCTTTATACATAAAAATTACGTGTCACATTGTTTGTCCGCGAGCTCCTGAACCTGAACTCCTAAAGTATTGAACCGATTTCAATGAAATTTTGTACACTTTTTATGGCGAATTTAAGGATTTTTTTAGAAGGGTCTTCGGAAAGGGCTGAACGTCTGCCTATATATATGAAATTCTAATATTGACCAAAAAATGTTAACCTCTTCACAAAACAACATAATGATAGTGGTGGTACAAGAAGGTACCCGTGGGTTGTGGCCAAGGCAGCCACAGCTTGTTTTGCTAGGAATAGTTATAGCGTGTGCATTCGACTATTTAATTTACTTCCGAACCATATTCAAAACTTGACATTTAATCTTTTTAAAAAAATATTTTCGGGATTCTGATTGAAAACTGTTTATAACATAAATGCAGTTATCAAATTCTGCCGTGACGGTCATCTAAGCGAATTGTTGTTGATGTTTGAAATTTTAAATTGAAAAATTGATTAGAATTTGTAAGGTTGACATTATACTATTTTGACAGTATGCAGTATGACATGACCATGCCTTATACAGGCATGGTCATTTTTAATTTTTATTTTTTTTTCTCTTTTTTACATCCTAAATTTATTGACATTATACTGTTTTATTAAATTTTCTGCCGACTTCTAAAAAGGAGATGGTACTCAATTCGACTGTATGTTTTTTTTATGTGTTACCTCATAACTCTTAACTGGGTGAACCGATTTCGATGATTCTTTTTTTATTTGAAAGGTGGTAAAGCTGGTCCCATATGAATTTCATCAAGGTCAGACCAATAGTTTTTGAGTTATTCTTAATAACTTATATTGAAGTCGGCAATACAAAATTTTTAATTTTTAATTATGATATGAAATGTTATAGTATTTTTGTAATTTTAATTATTCAATAGCATGTCGACGTAATATTTGCATACCGATATATTGTTATAAAACATGCATGTTCACATTATGTTATAAGACCTAAAAATGTACCATATTTTATGCAAATAAATATTTTATTATTATTATTATTGTTACGGCCTACGGCTGCTCCCTTAAGGTGGCACAAGTCGCGGGCTCGAACTCGCTGGTGGGCGCGGCCAAAAAGCACGCTGTCTCACCTGGCATCGTGCCCGACAGAGATAGTATCAGTGATGAGCATATCGACACTAGTATTCACGCATGTCTTGTTCGTACGGTGTTCCGAACCGTTAGAATAAAAACGAAGTTACACGAACACGATGCAACATCTATACTAATATAATAAAGCAGAAGAGGGTTTTTGTTTGTGTGCTAATCTCTGGAACTACCAGGCCGATTTGAAAAATCTTTTTTTGGATATTATAGCCAGATTCATGTTGAATAGTATAGGCTATACAGCATTAGGCTATATATCTCAGCTAGCCTCAGAAGAAAAAGCGCTGTTATGGTTCGGGATACGTAAATACAATGTTCTAGAAAAATATAGATCTTTACTCCGTCTAAAAAAAGTCCGCGATACCATATGTCTATTTCTTATATATAAGCCACAATTAGGCGTTTTGTGACAAAAAAAATGAAAATTTAATTATTAGGCACCTTACGAACGAAAGTTACTTCATTATCAAGACAATTTTATGAAGATAAACTTCGTTCTTTATACCATGTTTATATAGTACATAGTTTAAGAGATAATATAAAATTAAAATAATTCAATACCTACTTGGCTTGACGCGCAAACATCGCATAACCCCTAGCCCGGTGCGAACTGAGAAGCCACTATTGAAAGCTTCTATGAGCGAGGTTAGGTTAGCCGTTAGTTCAATCGTTATCTATATATACACAAATAAATAAAATTGAAGTGTCTGTTTGTAATGTCAAAATAACAGCTTTTTACTAATTGCGTATGAAACTGTATACGGTACTTATAACATTAACACAATTTTTAACATTTTTGTATGTCTGTCAGTCTGTTTGTTGCGGTTAATTTCCAAAACGGCTGGACCGACTTGGGCGGGACTTTCACTAGTAGATAGCTCATGTTATAAGAAGTAACTTAGCCTGCTTAAATTTTAGAAAAATTATTAGGTGTCTTTGCAACAATATTAACGCCCTAAACTAAACGCGGACGAAGTCGCGGGGTACAGCTAGTAGCTAAAATAAATTCAAAATTAATTGAGTACTTTTATCTATCTCCCGGGTGAGCGTAGCAATGATTAGTTACATCTTTATTTCTGAACTCTTTCATTTCACGTTGCTATGGTATTTTGAAAGTTTAAATTTAATTAATTAATAAGTATAAGAGGTTGATAGCAAATTTATCAAGAATCATTTCTTGCCTACACACTTTTCATGAATCGTGTACGTTTTTCTTTAAAACTGGAAAAAACCGCGCATAATATGCCGACAGATAAAATAAAAGTACTCCATTAATCATGACAATTTTTCCATACATTACAATAAAATAAAATATTTGATTGCAATTATAAAATGCTTGAACTAGGTGTCATGTCATGCCACGCATCTCGGACACGTGATGACGCGGGTGAAACCGCGAAATTATTAGGTATACCTCTGTGGCTCTATATACCTAATATAGATTGCTTATTTTATTATGTTTAGTTTTCCCCGAGTGGTCATGCAGCAATCACTCAAGAGTTCGGCTTCGAACGTGTGTAACTCGATAATTATCCCACGGCAACGAAATACCTGAATAAACGGTATGATATATGATATTTGGCAGCTCCGTGGCGCAGTGGCTTAGCAATGAATTGTTGTACTGGGAGCCGCGGGTTCGAATCAATCGAACAAGTATTTGTATGGTCTACAAATAATTGTTCCGGGTCTGGATGTTTGTAAACTGCCTCCACGATACAGGAGAAAATCCTAGTGTGGGGTAACGTTTTTTTGAAAAAAAAAATTCCGGACTATAGCCTATCTCTGAGCAAAATATCATCCAGATCCCTTCAGCCGTTCTGGCGTGATTGAGTAACATACATCCATCCATCCGTCCATCCAAATATCCAAACTTTCGCATTTATAATATTTAGATAATAATCGTAATTGCTCTGCCTACCTATAAATTGTTTTCAAAAATACTTACTTACCTGGCTTTTTTTATATATACTCAATATCACTAAACGTAAGCACAGGTTTTTATCAAGACAAGTGACCCATCAAGATTGTTTTCTTAGTACTGACGTACCTACCTAAAGTTTACAATTTTGTGGCCACGACGCGGCGAGGTTTTGTGACATTTTGTTGTATTGTAGATTGTAGGTATCTAGGTAATAACAGTAGGTACCTATGAAAATTCCACATAATATACTTTGTTTTTCCGCCGCAAAAGTCGTCTAATAAATAATTAAACTGTTTTGTAATTCTTTATTTATTTATAACACTTGCATTGAGAGCCGTGGTAGCTCAGATGGTTAGTGCTCGCTGTAAGTATCACATTACGCGAGCAACCCGGGTTCGATCCCCGTCGGCACCAATGAAATTGTTGCAATTTTATATAGTAATCGAATATAGACTTTACTTTTTTTACTTTTATAATTATATTATATTACAGTCGAAAATTTTAAAATATTGTCTGTCGTCCAAAACGCATCATCTCTTTCAATTATATCAATTTCCATGCCGTCTTTTGTCTTTGGCGTCCAAATTACAAAATAGCAAAACTTTTCGTTTCGAATAAAACTCGAATACTTATAAGCGCGCGTCACCGCCTGTGCATGTGTGTGTAAGCATCGTCCTCCCGCACCGCACCGGGGGAGACATTATTCAGTGAGATGCACGATAATTCATAGTAACATGCGCGCGTAAAAAAATACGAAAAGGCCTTTGGAAGAAGGGGTTTTATGAAAAAACCACTGCATTAATCAATTACAAATAAAATGTATTGAGTTCTTCGATAATTGACCTGTGTCGGTACCGACTTTGTTTTGGAAATTTAACACTTCTTTTATTACTAATTTACGCCCAAAGTTGTGTTAAAATTGGCAATAAAAACGAATCTTTGGTAGCTTGTAACTTTTTAATAACATTTTATTTTACTATTCTGTTTCCGTACAGACAAATTTAATAATGAGACAAAACGATATCATGTTTAATTTTGGATGTACACTGTCAAACAGCGGAGTAAAACCCCTCCGAAATTTCTATGGAAATAATGTCGACTAGTGTCACCTTAAAGGTCAAATCCTCAGGGGCCCATTCAGCTGAGTTTCGACGAGCAGACGTAGGTCGGGCCTCCTCCAGGCCAAAGTGGAAAATCTCTAATTACACTAAACTATATGGGTGAGCGTTCTATACTACGGCCATTCGACCGGGAGAATATTAGACGGAGCTTACTTTCCTAGATCCAAGGCGACTGGTCCCTCCGGAGTCGGTCAGGTCTCATGTGGTTGTGTAGTGCAAGGGAAATAAGGTGATGTGATGTGTATCTGGGTGTGACTAATGGTGATTGACCCTAGTAGACCTTGGCCGTCGGCAGCAGCCCGGGCGTCGACACCGCTCCAAATTGAGGGAACTTTCCGCGGCGTTGTCCACATTCACTTTCCTCGTTCGTCACGATGACAGTCCATTAACTCTATCGTACGATTAACTAACTTACAGAAGCCACTAACTCTCGTTTGTTATAAGGTTAACGCACAAAACGAACACGGAGTGTCCGGATCAAAGGTCACTACCATTTCGCGTAGCAACCGTTATTTCTAGAATATCAAAGGCCGCACTAGCTGATATTGTCGAATGCACTTATACTGATTCTGAGTCGGAGCCAATAAGTCCCGGGGAAGCTCTACAGCAAGAAATACGCGTAACAAATCCTAGACAGTACATTTACGAGCCGCGCCTAATTATTCCGAGTTCCCGACAAAAAATGACAGCGTGCTGTCCCAAGCACAGCTGGCAGACGACTCCCTTGCTCACGCGCGCGCTCGTCACATCCAACTGTCAAACCGGTATGGCACCGAGCCGCGCGCCCCCTAGACGTCGATTCCGACAACAGCGTTTGGCGCGAACAATTATTATAGAAGTCATCTTAAATTTTGATATATATTGCTAGGAAGCCTGCAACACTATCGAGTGTTGAAACGAGCCATAAAGAAATAATTGTGAGAGGACATACACATTATATGCATAGTAAAATATATTTAGAGGACTTTAGGGAAGTTTACTACTAGAGCAATTTGGCCGATTAGTGGCTTGTTACCATAACTCTTATTTCAGAGAAGAAAAGGAAATAGATTTGGCAATTTCATTATAAACTACCATCTCATGACGTACTTTGAGGATCACCAGCTGATAGTGACCGCCAATACGGTTTTCGTCGGGGTCTACCTGACTCATAGATGGGCGGAGGCAGTAGAGTCCAAGGGGGAAGCATTGGCCGTTAGTTTGGACTTAGCGAAGGTCTTCGATCGGGTCTGGCACAAAGCGCTTCTTACGAAGCTCCCTTCCTATGGGCTTCCCGATATTGTGCAATTGGATCACATGCAAATGGATGTAGATGGGCAACAGTATTCTTCAAATAGAAAATAAAAACTGGTGTCGTCAACACATTTGCCAAGAGTGAGTTGGTTCAGCAGTGGGCTCTGCTAGGTTAATGGCAATATTAAGAACTCATTTACCTCATGCGCGGCGATGACGAAAGGCATTATCGGTCATGTGAAATGTGCCAATCTACATTGGGGCAGAGGTTAGGATAAATGAGAGTAACAGACTTATAATATAGACTCCTTGGCTAAATAAATAAACACTTTATGATTTGATGTTTCATTGCCGACATTAGAATCGACATAGTATCCGGAAAACCTCGTGTGGTTCATGGTTAGTTAATAGGGTGATGAGGCACCTGCAGGTGGCGCACGGGGTCGGCGACAACGGTGTTGTTGGTGGCGACGGCGGCGGCCAGCAGCGGCAGAGTGGTGGGGAAGGGCAGCGGCGACAGCAGCTGCTGGTGCTGCTTGTCCTGGCCCAGCTCCTGCAGCAGCAGCACCAGCTCCATGCGCACCGACGCCAGCCCGCCGCCGCCCGCGCCGTGCAGCGAGCAGTACGACAGCAGCGTGCGCAGCAGCGTCTCGTTCGCTGACAATAAATTCGCACAAACAATTCATAAACATTCAACTAGGTAATAATTAAAAGCTAATGCCTCCTCTACACTACTCGCGAAGTAGATCGAAGTTGGACGAGGCGAATAGTGTAGAGAGGTACTTCGATCCGCTTCGTGCAACCTCGCTTCGCCTCGGGCGACTTCCGATCGCTGTCGGTTTTTTGCGCCAGAGTCAAAGTACTTCGCGGAGTACATCGAAGTTACACGAAGCGTTTCACTACACTACTTGGCTTACGCCAGTTTTGAATATTTTTTTTACATATAAATATTAAATATGTAGCTTTCTACATAATTATTTATTTAATTAACGCATTGACGTCGTACTGTTCACACAATTAGGTACCTATAGCAGCTGCCTCTTGAACGTTATTCATGTTAACGGTGCGGGAGACTCAAGACGACTGAGCTCTTCGCGAAGTAGCACGAGTGTGTAGTCACGTTCTTCGAACTGCGATCGACTGAGAAGAGCACTTTGTCAAAGTTACTTCGCGAGTAGTGTAGAGGAGGCATAAAGGTAGTACACAGCTAACGGCATGTTTATGACATTAGGAAACGCTTTAATTCCTCCCTCTCCTTTCCACCATCGGACAACCAGGCGGTCGGCTGGTCTTCATCTCTTTGTTGTCGATATTTCATGCATTAGAACCAAACGGTTTGCTTCGTCTTTTGTAATGCGTACAGCAAAGGAGTGGAATAATTTGTAGGCGTCAATCTTTCCGTCCGAATACAATCTGGGCGTCTTCAAGGCAAGAGTGAATAGGCTTTTGTTACGCTAAGACAGTGCGTTTTACCATCTAAGGCTGCATCACCACTTACCACCAGGTGGGATTGTGGTCAAGCACTGGCTTATAAAAAGTAAAAAAAAAAACACCTCAATCCCTCATTCTCATTCATCATGGTGCTGCCACACTCGAGTCAAAATGTCAGGAATTAAAAATAAAACTTAAAATCAAACGTATAATTAGTTTTATTCAGTATCTACATGGTGTCTACATATTTTAATAATTTTCATTGTTTTTAATATCTGCATAAATAATATACGAAATTATTGATCACCATTACAGCCTAATAAATTCCACTGCTTCGCATAGGTTTCTTCGATTGGTGTCATAGAGCCTTGGCACAAATGGAACTATCTAACAGAATATTAGTGTAAAATATGTGACCGAATGTGCTAGAATCGAAGGAATTCCATCATAGTAGTTTTATATTATTCCTCAGAGGTGACAATGCATCACCATTTTGATACTTAATTGCAGATGTACGTAGAATCTACTTACCATTATGTGGGTTGCGTGATCGTTTGTCACTCTCGTATGTTTTAAAACGTACGAGTAATTTATGTTCAACCCTATAGTACGGCCGCTGAGTTATTACCGATTTGACAGATTATTCTTAAATTAATCGATATAACCTTGCACGAGCGACACATTTGCCGAATGATTTAGAATACCTCTTTAATATAAAACTTTATGTCAAAATGTCAGAATCAAGTAATTTTCCAATAAACTCTGTTTCAAAACTTAAAATAGTTTGTAAATAATATGAAAACATTTATTTTTTGTTCTTTGGCGCGCTTGTACAAAGTTACATCGTGCGTCTAGTTTTCATAGTGATGTGCTTGATAGTATTCGGTCCGAATTCATTGGAATAGATATGATATTTATTTTATTTGGATATTTTTATTTTACTTATTCCTTCGAGCAACTAGACTATGTACATGCTACCATTTTTTTGCGTCTCCTAATTGCACTGTGTTGCCAGTATCTCTATGATTTTTAAGATTTATGTGTGATCCAAAGACAGAAATACTGTTTTCTATGATTTAAAAATAAATACAATTAAAATGATTATGTATAATTTTTAACATTCATAATATATAAAACAACATTTAATAAATATAATTTTCTCCCTCAATTAAGCAATGTTATAGGTGTATTTTTTTAAGTAATTGGCGATACTATTCTGGCAACACCCTTACTACCGCTATTTTAATCTGTTTAGTCGTCTTCCGTACTCTCGTGCGCACAGACTACGTTCTCTTGTGTAACCGTTGTTTTTTGACTCGGCTTTCTCCTGTTTATCGTTGCGCTTTATTGGACTAATTTTGTTTGTGTTTGGTAATTTTGTTGAAAATGCCGAAACGAGGAAAAACATTGAATAGTCAATGTCGTGAGCTTGTACTAAAGCTACAGGATTACTTTGAGCGTGAGTCACAAAATGGCGGCCCTTTGATTCCTGTCACTCAAGTGAAAGATCGGGTTTCACAAGCTCTTGGAATTGGTGCAAAAACACTATATAATATAAATAAAGAAAAATTTGGTGCTTCTGGAAGTGAAGATAATGTTTTACGCACTCCTAAGAAAAAACGAAGACAAAAGCCCGTGACCGGTGTTGATGTTTTGATGCAGATGCAATAAGAAACCACATATATGGTTATTATACTAGGAACGAGTTTCCAACTAGACTTTGCTTTTGGTCTCTTTAAAAGAAGCTGGCTTGTTTAAAGGCAGTAAAACGGCGTTGTCAAAACTATTGCACGAAATTGGGTTTGAATATAAAAAAACGAATAAAAGGAAAATATTAATGGAAAGATTTGATTTAATAATTAAAAGGATCGAGTTTTTAAGAGAAGCCAGAAAAATCGAGTCTTGGGACAACGTCGTTTTTGTTGACGAAACATGGTTAAATGCGAACCACACTGTGTCACGCTCTTGGACTGACGAAACAAAAGCATCAACCTCAAAGGTTCCAATTGGAAAAGGATCGCGACTGATAATTTGTCACGCCGGTTCTGCTGGAAGTGGTTTCTTTGAAAATGGACTGCTGGCTTTCGCGTCAAAAAGTACTTCCGATTACCACGAGGAGATGGATACAGACACTTTTACGAATTGATTCGAAAATCAATTATTACCCAGCCTGCCAGAGCCTTCTATCATAATAATGGACAACGCTTCATATTACTCGAAAGAAGTGAATAAAGCACCTACTCAGGCCGACAAGAAAGCTGATCTCGTAGCATGGCTACACCAAAATGGAATTGAAACTACTGCCGAAATGCTAAAGTCTGACTTATTAAAGTTGGTACGCGAAAATAAAACATCAAGAGTCCGTTATGAAGTAGATGAGATAGCTCTAGCACATGGACATCGGGTACTTCGAATTCCGCCTTATCACTGCCAGTACAATGCCATTGAGCTAATATGGGCACAAATCAAAGGTATTGTTTTTTATCGCATAAGTTATGAATATGAATAATTTGTACTATTATAACATCCAATATTCAGCATATAAGTAAAAAGATACATAACTAAGAAATAAATATCTCATGTCCCTTACATGTAGGTAATTGTGTAACATTTCGTTTATTTAATGTAATAAATTAACGTTATTTAATGTTTACATTACAGGTTACGCAGCTCGTAATAATACGATTCCGCCATTCAGTACTAATAAAATGATGGGTCTATTAAAAAATGCTTGCAGCAAAATAACGAAAGAAGATTGGGTCAAGGTCGTCGAAAAGACTCGAAAACTAATAACAGAAGATTATGAACGCGATATAAGAGTGGACACCATTATAGAGAATGAAATTGTCATACAAGTGACTGATAGCGATGACAGCTCTGGCGAATCTGGTTCAGAGTCTGAATAATTGTTTTAATAAATGATAGGTAGTCATTTATTAAAACATCTTGTACCTACTCTATTCATTAAAATGTGTAACAGTGTTTACAAATTTGTTTTATTTTGATATGTCCTCGACCAATTATCTACGCCCATCAAGGATACTCCACCTAATAAAGAACCTGTGTCTTTAACTATTATTGTTTTGATTTTATTTAATTACACACTATACTAGAATATTTAAAAACAAACTGTTCCCAAATGATATTAGGGTTACTGGTTCAGTCACTTCACTAGTATTGTCAATTCGTCATGTGTCAAACTGGTAATAACTCAGCGGCCGGACTATAGTTAGGTAAAAATGCTGAATCGATTATTTTATATTGTATAAAAGTGAAGTTTCTGAGGTAATCGAGGCAATGCAATTCCAATCCATACTGAGTGCATATCGCATACGCCGTTCGCGGTTTTTGTGCATTTTTGTATAACTGGGTGTAAAAGTTTTTAAAAAAAAAACACCTTCTGCGTGGGTTTGTTAGAATACCTTTGAGCCAGCGGCGGCGGCGCACGGCGCGCTGCACCTTGGCCTCGAAGTCCGCCTTCTCGCGCACCAGCAGCTGGTGCAGCGTGGGCCGCTCGGGCAGCGGCGGCGGCTCGGCGTCCGCGCACAGCAGCTCGCCGCCCGCCGCGCCCGCGCCGCTGCCGCCCGCGCGCCCGCCGCCCCCGCCGCCGCCGCCCGCCGCCGAGTACCCGCACAGCCGCCGCAGCGCCTCCACCTCGCGCTCCAGCCAGATGTACAGTTGGTAGCGCAAATGCCCGCCTGCGCACCACACGCCACTCACTCCATTTTCGTATAATCATAATCATCAAACACGACAAACCTATTTTTAATACATACTCATTAACAACATACACGCTTGCTGACGTTATGTCACAGCCACCTTGCTTAATTAGCCTTTCAGTTAACAGCCTAACCTTTTACTACAAGGGCGCCGTTCATATAGCGGCCTCAATGATATTCAGTCGATGCGTGTAATACAACACTGCAGCTACTTTTCAATATCAGCAACAGTAGGTTAAGGTGCGGCTGATGTGGCCCTTGTGCCACCCTAGAGAAGCGTATATTTATATAACACAGCACATAGTGCGTGAATAAGCATGAAATGTATTAGACGCATGGCACACAATGGCTAAAACGCTTGAGCTAAATATCATTCAGGCCGGTAGCTAAACGGCAAAAAGCTAGACTGTTAACTGAAAGTTGACTGCGACATATACATTACAAAACCGTCCACTATTGGATAAGTATATCTCCAATAAATAAGCATTTACAATAATTACTATATTTAGGAGAAAGTGGGGCATGTTGTTACAGGGATAAATAGTTACACGCATTTTTGCCAAAATTTAGAACTTTCTAGTACTCTCTCTCTCTCTCTCTCTCTCTCTTTGTGATGTATTTGGCTCAATTGGTTCCTTATGACATCGCACATTACGTAAAAATGACCAGTGACCCGCCAAACAACGTTCTGTAAATTTGTGTGCACGTGCTTCGATTTCAGCCAAGTAAGTAAAAAAATCCTTTATAAAATCTTTGATTACCGATACATATTTTTTTTTATTTTCACTAATTTTTAGGGCTTGGACTTACTTAGCATATCTACTTTTAATTTAAATTAATGTTTTTTCTGCTAGCAATATCTATCAACGGTGACTTCAATTTGTTTAAAAAATCGTGCTATGGGGCAGGTAGTTACAATTTTTTGGGGTAAGTTGTTACATATAACAACTTGCCCCGTATAATTTGGGCTTGATTATCTTATTAGCTTATCAGTCTCTGGAAGGGATAAAAAGCTAGTTTCTAAACCACTTCCAAGGGGGACTTCTATTTTCGAAGCGTTTACTTTCGTTAATAACGTATACGTGGTAGAGCCATGCTGCAGCTATATTAGTAGTATAGTTGTAGGACGAATGGGTCGGCTCGACCGGGGAAGAACCACGCTCTCACAGAATACCAGCGTAAAATAGCAGCTTAACACTGCTGTGTTTCGTATGGTGAGTGTAGAGAACCGGAGACCCTTTTTACTGGAAAAGAGGCATTCCATCTTAGTCCTCGCGGGTGACAACGCATCTGCATTTTGATTCGCAAACGAGGATAAATGTAGATGTCTATGGGCCACAGCAACCACTTACCATCAGGTGGACTGTGTGCTCGTTTGTCACCCTATCCTATAAAAAAAAAATAAAAAAAAATAAACGTTTCTTCATATTTATAAAACGTAAACATACATTGTTTCATTTTCAGAATGAAAAATTATAAAAGAAAAACTGAGAGATTCTTCCACTTCCTCGCCTAACGTCTACAGTTTGATACTGCACCAGGAAAATCTGAAATTGTTAGTCGTCGTAATCGAAAATACGCTGTACTATCTGATATACCGAAAAGGAGCATTATAAGAGTATAAAGAATACCTGGCCAAGAAACAAAAAAGCTGCGATAAAAGTAAAGGATTGCGATGCGATTAAAGGAAGGTGTAAGGGAAAGACAACGAAAATGAGAGAAAAAAAGGAAAATAAGGCAAAGAAAAATTATTGGATTCAGATTCAGACTCAGATACTGAAGAATGGTATTTTTAGTGTGTATCGAAAGTTACAGTAGGTGTAAAACAGAAGAGTGGGTAGAGTGTATAGAATGCAAAATGTGGGCCCATGTCAAATGTGTAACGGGAAACGTTTACTCATTTATTTGCGTTAATTGCAATTTTGATGAAGACTGATTTAATACTTGTATGTGTATAATATTATTACTTACCTTTAAAAATGATTATGTATTTTTCTATATATCATATCCTATTCTATATAATTTAAATAAAAGTGTGTTTTATTAACGATAGGATCCAAAAAAATAGTTTAATAAAAGTGATGGCACTTTGACTTTTGATTTTTTTACACACATTGATTAAAATTAGTAATATTTATTCATTATTTTTTGAACGTTGCTTGTAGCTGACGCAGCTTATTTCTGATTTTAGTAATAACAATGTTTTTTTACTTAAGAATTTAAAAAAACTCGCAGGCAGTGTTAATAATGTGATGTTACTGTAAAAATTGTTTAAAAATGAAGATATAGACACTATCATTACAGATTATTATTATAAGATTATTTTAAATATTTGTTGCGATTATAGCATTTAAAAATAAAGATTAAATTGTGATTTATCATGTTGATTTTATTAATTAATTGACCGTAACAACGTGCCCCAAGGATGTAACAACTGACCCCGGACTGGGGCGAGTTGTTGCAATCGATTTGTTTTAATTAAATTACCCATTGCGAGAAAACAACGTTAATTTAAATAATTTTTCAGTAATATTTACCAAGCTGAATATTTATTTTATCGATAAAAACAATGAAATGAATAAATTATTTGATAGGCTTTGTCATATTGATAATTATCTAAAAAATGTAACAACATGCCCCACTCTCCCCTATCTTCTTCATAAATATGTTTCAAATTCATCAAGAAATTCTTTACATAAAAGTGAAAAACACATCATACATTGCTACAGTGAAATTCATAGTCAGACATTAAACAATCCCCTGGATTACAATCAACATTTACTTAGGTTTTTTTTTTGCCACAATGCTGCATACATTTCGTGATAGTTAGGGCTATGCAAGGTTAAAGCTAGAAAATTGTTTTGTTGACAGAACCTTCAACATCTGTCAAATTGGTGATTTCTCTTGTCGTTGGGGTTATCAGTGAATACAAAATGAAAAATAAATTAATAAATACATATTTTTACACAAGATCTATATAAATCCAGCTCCAACTCACTTACCATCAACCTCGAAACCTGTAGCCAGTGTGCTAAGTTCTTCCATCAGAATCTTGAGACAAGCCACGAATTTAAGCTGTTGCGCCATAATATCAACTGAAGGTGGTTCTTCTTTCTTGTCTGAATCCAGTCCATTAACCATCGTTTCTTCTTGTTTGTCCATTTTCATTTCTAGAGGCGGAGTAGATGTGCCGGAATCTTCAGATCTTTATTGAACATCACAGATGTTTAAAACTATTTTTAAATTCACAATAATTTTATTTTTATTGAGTGCTTTCTAATGTTATAAATAGGATTATTTCGCAATAACCGGTCAAATTTGCAGAGTAGGTTCGGAATAAGTACTATAGGCAAATGGTGAAGAAAACTTAATTTAAAAAAAATCTCAAGCATTCTGTTGGTTTTATGTTTTAAATTCAAAATGCGTGGTAGTGCATTATTTTAACTGATTTTACTCCGCACTCCGTAGGTAAAAACGTTGTTGTCCATAAATCACTTTCAATTTGGAATAATTTCAAATAAAAGTATAAGCCTTCTTTACTCGTTTTTTCAAAAGCTGCAATAACGGCAATATCATTATTTATATATTTGAACTTAAGTTTAAAATTTGGCTACTCTTTGAAAAATAACCCTGTATAATACAATATATTATGCCCGTAGCTTTAACACTGTACCAAGAAAGTATGTACGTGTTTTTTTTCTTTGGAACTAAACTACCGGTGCTTTGAACGGAAACGAATTCATGTTAATTGTAACATTCAAATATTTTAAACTAAGTTATTGGCTATGGTCACTATTCATAATCTGTACAAAAATTATAAACAATAATTCAAATACAAAAGCCTATTATATACTACATAAAAGTATTAAGTAAGAGGAGAGTTTTTTATAAAACTCAAACTAACAGTAAACTATACTTACTCTTTGTCTTCATCATCCCATGTGAGAACGAGCTCGTCGTTTTTTGTAGAACTGACCGGCGCACCCCAGTCTAACGACGTCGAACCCCACTCGACATTTTCTTCTTCCTCTGTTACAAAAACAATGAGAAAAAAAATCAAACCTTAGAAGTATTCATATACATTTTTATGTTTTTTGTACAAGTATGTCTAATATAATACAGACGTAATATAAAGTTTTAATGTAACCAACTTACTTTTGGCAGTTGAGTTTTCCACAATCTGTCCAGTGTGTATGTATGTTTCCTCAACAGATGGCGCGGCGATAGGGTGTTTTAATTTCTGATCTCTCACACGAGCAGGTAATTTTGAAAGAACTTCTAAAGCCAATGCCGGGCAGCCCGCCTTGAAGTGGCCATGTGCAGTTTGGAAGTACAGGCGACGCTCGAGACGTGTGATGCCTTCTTCCACTTCCTGCTGCAAGAGGGCTAGTGTCCCACCCTAAAAATTGTGATATTATTTAACAATTACTCCATGTATATTCATTATATTTAATTGTAAACTTTTGGTGCAAGTGTAATCTTTAATATTTAAAAGTGTCTTTAGTGATGTCAATGCAAGTGCACCTTGGTTACGATGGATGTTAAGTTGATCGTATACAAGAAATACCAAAATATCATTACAAATAACTTAGTGTATTAATAAATATAATTAACCAACGAGATGTTTAAAATTTAGCCCTTAATGCGAAGTATCGTTACTCTAACATAGCATCAAATCGTTACATTACCGACGAATTCGTTAACAAATACAAATCCAGTACCGTAAGTATGGCATATTGCAATTCCCCACTGATTGGCAAATGATTGGGAAATTGTGAATCAAATATTCATTAATTTTATTATTTTAACATCCTCCATCAAAACATTTTAGATATCATTAAGAATGTTACATATTGAACAGACAAATGTAGTTGATTTTATAATGGCTTAATAAAATCAACTACATTTGTCTGTTCAGTATGTAACATTCTTAATGATATCTAAAATGTTTTGATGGAGGATGTTAAAACAATAAATTATAATAAAGTAATAAAACACCAATAAGTACCTAAAATTTTTCGCAACAATTGCTTTCTTTTTTTTTAAATAATTTTTATATTTTAATAATTTCTTGACAGTTATTTTGATTTTTAATTATGCTGCCATTTATATGTAATAAAATAGCAGAAATATTTTGGAAATGGCAATAACCAAGACGTTAACACGAAATAGACTAAAAGATGTAAAGGTTATTGGACTATTTACATGCTGACAATAGTGAATACAATTATAATATAAAACAGTAAATATACCTGACTAGGCAAGTTGTTTCGTTTTAACCGGGGATGTGTGCGAAGATAGACATAGAAATTGAACACACTGGGCATTGGCTCGTTGTCCCTGGCCGAGTGTAGTCGACCCGCGGGACATATCAGCGTGTCTAAAGCTTCGCCGTAACGTTTCAGTTCCCAAAGGGCCATTGAACGTATAAATGGGTCGGGATGAGCTCTTTCGAGGTCTATTTCTCCATCTTCTGTTTCGCCACTGAAAATAAATTATAATATATATAATATATATATTTTAATAATTATTTTCTATAAAACATTTTTTTCTTCAATCAATTAACATCAAGCAATGTTTGATATAAAAGGAAACGAGATCTCACCCAAGAACCTCATCCATTAATAACTTCTTCAAACTAGGGGGCAATGTACTGTCCGACTCGTAGAGTCGAGCAATAACCATAGCCAATTGCAAATCCCCCAAGCGTGTAATTAACACCTAAAAATCACAAATGGTTGCATATGAAATGTATATTTACTCATCAATTACAAAATCAATCAAATTATCATGAAATATTAAAAAAAGATTACCTCTAAAGCGTCCTTCAAAGCTCCTCCCAATAGGAAAAACGCAGCTGCGTGTTCGAATCTCTGTTTGCCAAGCAATACGAATGCGTTCTTTAAGGCTGCTTTACGCCACCGATCTTCCGAGAAATCGTTGGCGAAAAACTGTAATAACAAAATAAAACGTATAATAAACAAAAGTAACGTCGTCGTCAATAACGTGAGCCGTGGTAGCTCAGATGGTTAGCGCTCGCTGTAAATTTCACAGTACGCGAGCAACCCGGGTTCGATCCCCGCCGACACTGATGGAATTGTTAATTGCAATTTTAAGTGCTGATTTACCAAGTGCTCGGCGGTGAAGGAAAACATCGTGAGAAAACCTGCATGTCTGAGAAATAAGAAAAAAAATCCCATAGACATGTGAAGTTCGCCAACACGCATTGGGGCAGCGCGGCAGACATTTCCTCGCCCTAAAACCTCTCAGAAATGAGGGAAGGCCTGTGCCCAGCAGTTGGACGTATATAGGCGGCTGTAACTTTAACTTTTTTAACGTCATCTTGAATCCTAAGCGCAATCACATCAATCAATCAATGTGAAATCAATGTGGAACTCAATATAAAAAAAGCATATGAGTTAATTATTAAAGTGCAAGTTCAAAATTACCACCGATAGGATTAAGAGGGTATCACAAAATACTCAGATGCGACAACCTGTTGAACGGATGTTGATAATGATATACCTGTACATTATATGGCGTTCATATAGAGTGATTTTTTACCGTAGGGATGAAAATAGGTAAACTATGTAGAAGCCTATTGCATAGGTATTTTTTTTTATTGTAATATTTTGATATGATTTTGTAAAATAAATCCTTCTTACCGCCGTCATCTTGTCGTCACGGTTGGAGCGGAAGAGTCCCCATAGCAGCATTCTCTTCTTCATGGCGAGGTAGAAGAGCGCGGCGTCCATTGGATCCTGCTTCGCCATGTACGAGGCGCGCGCCATCTTCTCCACGGACGTGCGCAGCAAATCGCCGCGAACCCACCAACCCACGCCTGGGTTAAGTATTAATATAAATATTACAAATAATAAAAACATTATGATCGCTACGAAATTTCTCATGACTCATGGCAAAAAAAGCAAATTTAACATTAACATACTTTTTATTACCCCGATCGGGATAAACTTTTTTTATAAGATAAGGGTGACAAACGAACACACAGTCCACCTAATGGTAAGTAGTTCCTTGACCCATAGACATCTACATCTATCCTCAATTAAAAATCAAAATGCAGATGCGTTGTCACCCTTGTGGACTAAGATGGAATGCCTCATTTCCAGTAAAAATGGTCTCCGGTTCTCTACACTCACTATACGAAACACCCTGCTATTTTACGCTGGTATTCTGTGAGAGCGTGGTACTTCCCCGGTCGAACCGACCTATTCGTGCTACATCTATACCACTAATATAGCTGCAGCGTGGCTCCACCACGTGCAAATTTGCCAATACTTACCACCCAAGGAAATAATATATGGTAAAATTAAAAATTTTGTACAACCGACTTTCATATAAATAAAACGAAAACATAGTCAATGTAGTCGAAGTCAATTAAAAACTCATTATTAAGGATAACTCAAAAACTACTGATCAGATCTTGATCAAATGCATACGGGACCACATGAGAAGCACCAGCTTTTAAATAAAAAAGAATGATCAAAAATGGTTCACCTAGAAAAAAGTTCTGAGGTAATAACACATAAAAAAATATAGTCGAATTGAGAACCTCCTCCTTTTTTGAAGTCGGTTGAAAATAACCAGAATGGGAATAACAGTGAGGGATTACATATTTGTAATCCTGGAGGAAATAAGTTAAGTAGGTAATGTAAATAAAAAATCTTGCCTAGTTCCCTCATTGTAGACCACTTTGGCTGTCCTTTTGTGTAGCCAGGTATTAGCGAAAGCAGCTGTTCGTGCGTCTCTGAATGGTATGCCCATACCAAGTTGCACGTGCCGACGCCGTTTCGTTGCAACGTTGCGCGTTGTGCCAGTGGAAGACACCGCAATAAGTAGCCATAGTGCTTCATTGCCAGCAGGAAGCGCAAACCACAATCGTCTAGAGAGTCTGGTAAAATTACAATTAAGTTAGTAAAGTTATTAGTGAACTGGTGCATAAAAATAAACCATTAACATTATATATGACTGCGTCAGGACTGGGCGGACCACGAGTTAAAAGGGCGCCAGTAAAATGGTCCCCTTTACACCGGAGCGAACTAGTCGCCCGATCGGCTGTAGCGAAAACGGTCGTAAATTGTACTAGCAAAAATTCCGGTTGTGCCGTGAAGGGCGCGAACTACGACGAAACGCGCCGCAAAAAAATGATATTTCATGTTACCGGTAAGTTCAAAATATGTCATTACATAAATTTGCTTACATTATTGTTTTTATAGGATAGGGTGACAAACGAGCACACAGTCCACTTGATGGTAAGTGGTTGCTGTGGCACATAGGCATCTATATCTATCCTCGTTTGCGAATCAAAATGCAGATGCGTTGTCACCCGTGAGGACTAAGATGGAATGCCTCGTTTCCAGTAAAAAGGGGCTCCGGTTCTCTACACTCACCATACGAAACACAGCAGTTTTAAGTTGCTATTTTACGCTGGTATTTTGTTTCCGAATTCTCTCAACGTTCAGTAAAGACGAAGCAATTTCGTCCATTACGCAGCCCGACACCGATCACGACGATCACACCCTACTTCTAATTAGTTCTAATAGATGGCGCTAGTTTTTCTAATACGGAAAACGCGTCAGACAATAAGGTATTTTATACCATGTAAAAAAAATCAAAAAATATATGTTTATGATAGGTTTGGTAAAAAGTAAACGAGAAATATTAATTTCTATTTATAAAAATGTGTTATAAATTTTATAATTCAATTTTAAGAATATTTTTTTAAAAAATCTCCAAAACGCTATCCGCCATATTAGATACCGTCGTAACGTCACTGGTTAAGTAAATTATCTATTGTGCTGTGTGTTATTTCGAAAATGTTCAAGTTATAATTACAATTGTTGAATTTTATTCCGAATTTTATTGAAAAGTTTCGGATTCGTAAAAGCAAAAAGTACTAATCTATTAAGGATAAATACAATTAATAGAATCAGGCGTTACTTTGCGGAAATCCATTATATAAAAGCTTTTACAAAAATTTACTTCGCAAATATCCGCGTTATAAAATATTCTTTAATATTGCTCTTCTCTTCGTACTAGGTAAGACACATCATTTTATTTTAAATTTTTGTAAAAGCTTTTATAAGGATAAATACATTGATGGTCAATCCAGAATTTTGTTCCGCTGCGTTGAGGAATGTTAAAACATCAATTTAAGTACCTATTTTTCAACTTTTATTTATACAATAATACAATAACAGGTCAGTGTCTTTTGATAATACATAGTTATGTTTATCTATGATTACAATTATTAGCAATCATTAGTTATACTTATCTAAGACTGGCGAACCGACCCGACTTCACACGGGTGATTTCTGGATCTCGACAACAGTGCCAGCTACCGGGTCTAATTGTAAATCTAAACCATCCTGGGACTCACTCAAACACACCCAATTTCATCAGAATCGGTCGAGCCAGTTTGGAGTTTTAGCGAGACAATTATTTTTTTTTTTAGTTTCGTTATAACGCCCCCGCAATCCCCTTCGTGAGTGGAATTTCGTAAAATTCGTTCTTAGTTTAACTCAAGATGACAAAAATAATAATTAAAATGATGAAAAAAAGAAAAAAAGATGAAAAAAAAAGTGGCTCCGTGGCGCAGTGGCTTAGCAATGAGTTGTTGCGCTGGGAGCTGCGGGTTGTAATCCCGCACGGAACAAGTATTTGTATGGCCTACAAATAATTGTTCCGGGTCTGGATGTTTGTCCTCGTGCAATTTGTGTTTGTAAACTGCCTCTACGATACAGGAGAAAATCCTAGTGTGGGGGTAACGTTTTTTTTTTAATGTTCCGTGCGGGATTCGAACCCGCGGCCTCCAGCGCAGCAAATCATTGCTAAGCCACTGCGCCAAGGAGCCGTCCTGCCTAAGAAAGGCCTGTTGCTCAGTAGCGAGTTGTATGTAGTGCAATTTAGTATGATTGATACTTAAATAAAAGTAGTAATATTTTTAATATAACTGTAAAACTGTATTATATATTATTAACTATTATGAAATGTTTTAATTAAAGTATTACTTAGCAGTGTAGGAAGTTTTAGTGTCTTCGGGTCTCTTCTTGCCAGTTTTAACCGAGTATATCTCATATTTAAATCAGTTGGCACTTGAATCCATAACTTCCCCGGCGTTCTTATGCTCGTATTTTTGCGTTCAGTCATAACACACCAATGATAAAGATGATAGCTCATTATTAAACATCCAAAAATATCTTATTCCTTTGCCAAATCGGCAAAATCCTAGGACAGTGACGTCACGACCTGAACAGCATGACGGCTAGCGTTTCGATAGATTAAAAGTAATTTTTCATGGCAATATTCGGTTATATAAAAATTATAGTGGTTTATTATCACTTTAGGATTCATTTAAAATACTATTTGAAAATGGGTGTAACACCCCATTTTTCGGACAACCCTATATTTACTGTTTAAATCAATGAAACACAAAAAATATTTGATCAGGGAGTAAGTAATAATTAGATTACCGGGCATAAAGTCCTGTGGGGCGTTGTGCGCGGACTCGAGGCGCGCGTTGGCCGCGAAGCGCTCGGTGAAGTCCGCGTCGCACGTGGACACGGTGTCGGCTAGCGCCAGCAGGTGCATCTGGTCCAGCGAGCTCAGCCCCGGCAGGTGCGTGTGCGTCAGCAGCCGCGACAGGATACGCCCTGCTCAACAGACACCAAATCACATTTTATATCTGCGGACTTTCTTTCGCCCTTTCCTCTCCGGCCAGAACCTCATTTTGAAACGGTAGAAGGTTTAGTGGATATAAAAAATTATATTTGACAAACGAAATTATATTTTCTTACGTCGGAGAAATAAATATATTTCATTTCATTCTTTTGTTCTTCTTCTTTTAACCAGCCAGTAAAAGTTTTTTTTTATAGGATAAGGGTGACAAACGAGCACATAGCCCACCTGATGGTAAGTTCTTTCTTTAACCCATAGACATCTACATCTATCTGCGATTACGAATAAAAATGCAGACACGTTGTAACCCGTGAGGACTAAGATGGAATGCCTCGTTTCCAGTAAAATGGGTCTCCGGTTCTCTACACTCACCATACGAAACAAAGCAGCGTTGAACTGCTATTTTACGCTTTTTTTTTTTAAGTTTCCCTTTAGTCAATTTTACGAGAAAGGACAATTTTTGCCTGTCATGTCACTGTCACGATGTCATTAACATTTAACATAATATCTAAAGCTAATTTTATAATCTAACCTAAAGGTTAGATTATAAAATTTAAAAATTAAAATTTTAGAAATACAATTTTTTTTATATTGTTAAAAAAATATAACAATTTGAAATTTTGAACTGTAAAATCCATGCTTAAAAATTAACGTACGTAAGTACGTTACTCCAGATAGATCTTTCTTTTTTACTCGATTTCTTCTTGGATAACAGATGAAAATAATGGTTATGTATTTAATATTAATTTTGTTTTATTATGGTTATTAGATTAATAATTATTTATTTATTATTAAAATGTTTATCAATAAAATAATTATAAATATTAAACTTTATAAAAATAGAAATAATAGAAAGAAATGTCAGAGTGTCCGAGTTCGAGCCCAGCCGACCGATGAATTTTTTAATTGCACCGCGGCGGACATTTTCTTTTCTTGCCCTAAAACTAATATAATACAAAAATAATCAACAAGTCAAATGATTTTTGTTTTACTAAAAGTTTTTGTAGTTTTGTATGTGCTATGAAATTAGGAAATATTTTTTCACATTCCTGGTAATTATTGCATACTGTTGGCGACGCGTCTACAAATAATATCTCAATTTATTAGTTTACCAATTACGAATAGCTTCTAAAGATAAATTATCATGCAATAATTATACTATACGAAAACGCTTAGTAAAATTTTAAAGAAATTTCGAATCCTAAGGTCCAGGGTTCGATTCGCCGGTCGAAATACTTTTTGTTGTTTTCTTAGCAATATTTTTCTTAGTAAATTAGGGCGAGGAAATGTCTGCCGCGCTGCCCCAATGCGTGTTGGCGAACTTCACATGTCTATGGGATTTTTTTTTCTTATTTGTCAGACATGCAGGTTTCCTCACGATGTTTTCCTTCACCGCCGAGCACGTGGTAAATCAGCACTTAAAATTGCAATTAACAATTTCATTGGTGCCGGTGGGGATCGAACTCGGGTTTCTCGCGTACTGTGAAACTTACAGCGAGTGCTAACTATCTGAGTTACCACCATGAAGCTAATACAAAGGGGAGACGGCATAAGCAACTGTGCACTGTGATTCTAAGTAGGTCCTGACGTCATCATAGTGGGCGTGGCTTTAGTTAGTATACTGTCAGCATTCGTCCTGTGCGCTTATGTGTTGAAAAAATCGCAAATCGGTGTATTTTCATAGTATTAAGAAGAAAAGGATGAAGTGTTGTGTTTTATCGTGTAAAAACTTCTCAGATAGACGCTCTGATGCTATGGATGGCATCACATTTCATTTATAAGTAATTTTACATCTAATTTATTAAAATAGTTCTAGAAAAATCTCTTTGCGTCAGCTTTCAAATATAATTAAATATATTCCACACTAGATGGCGGCACTTTGTGTCCTGTAAACTAAAAATGTAATGGTACGTAGAGCTCAGTAATGATAAAATAATCATACGAAGGTGCTGAAATTTGTTTTGCATTCAGACATAAAGAAATTTTAATCGCCAAAATATTATTTTTATAGTTTATAACATTTTGTGGACATGCCGCCATCTACCGTCAAGGTAGCTAAGCTATATTGCAACATCGATATGGAAAGATTCGAGTAGTTTTACTATTTATCAGTAGATGTAGATAGTGTAGTGGGCGGGGCTTTGCATCCCCTCACCCCGCAAATTGTCACGCGTTGTTACATAGTGAAATTTAATTACAACGTCTCCTCTTTGTATTTGCTTCATGGTTACCACGGCTCTTTTTACAAATATAACTTTTATTTTTATAACATAATCGTAAAATACTGGTATTCAGTTGAATCCGGTTTGACTGGGAGCCGACCCCCATATAGTTGGGAAAAAGGCTAGGCAGATGATGAATCGTATATAATATATGTAATATATCCTAGCATGTGGCGTTCTGTAGTTTTGCCTACCCATACAGAAAAAAGGAAAACATTTTTTTTCATTCAATTCAATTTTCGTAAATGTAGGGACTAAGAATTCACCCACGTTAGTGTGTGTAAACGACACTATATTCAATGACAGATGTTAATTTTGAACATTGTGTTGAATTGTGTGGATTTTGAGGCAATGATATGATCTAGTAAAATAAAGTATAATGTCCGAGTATAGCGATTGCTACTTCTACGACTTAATAATGTTCCAATTACACAAAAACCCAAATAAACTAAAAAATGATGACTTCAGCGCCATCTCGCGGGAATATGGCCGGGAGCAAACCGTATGTTTCACCTTAAATCCACTGTTACGTACGTTACTCCAGATAGACATAATTAGATTAATAATTATTTATAAATAAATAATTATTAATCTAATAATCATAATAAAACAAAATTTATATTAAATACATAACTATTTTTTTCATCTGTTATCCAAGGACAAATCAAGTAAAAAAGTCCAAGACCAACAACAACAAACAAAGGATATGACGCAACCTTGAGCTTGGTACTACAACAAAATAAAACAAACTAATAATAATGTGTGTCTGTCTGAAACTGTTTGCAAAATGCGCAATAGATATTTTATCTATATTTTGCAAATGTTTGTAAAATTAATTTTGTGACTACTTCGGTGGCTTACCAATTTATAATATTATTTATTCTTGACCAAAAACATGTTTAAACAAATTAAAATATGAAACAATGCCTTTGTAGTTTTGTACTCAACACCGACACATATGACGTAGGTAATTAATTAGTATTGAGACGAGATTTTAAATCAAATGCAAACTTACTAAAAAACGAAAAATTAAATTGCGTATTTTGAATAATTAATTACTATACCTACAATAAATTAAAATATATTCTATTATATTGGAATCAAATACGTAATAGAAATAATGCAAATTGAATTAATGAAAGTCAAACAAAATATATAACACGCAAGAAATTCCGGGAGCAAATCCTATCGCATGACAATCTCGAATTCAAAATGTATTTGTAATTTGTATTTTATTATGGAGGCTCTTCACGTTGGCCAACATAGTGGCGAATGTGTTGGCAGAGATATTGGCCAAGAATTTGTGATCGCGTCCACACGTTGGACGGTCGTTCAATTTGCTTGGGTTCAGGCCAATGTGCGGACGAATTTATTAAAATGATTATTGAAGCGCTAACGGCTGTTGCGGTTTATTTATTCACAGCATACCACTATTTTTTATTAAATTTTCACTATTTTTAATATTTAATATTTTTAATATAAATTTTTAATATTTCTTTATTATACACTAACGTTATACAGATAAGTAAACTATATAAACATTAACACACCTAGGCATAGGTATAATTAACACTTTTACAACTAAGGCCTGGAAAATATTCGAAGCCTGTCTATGATACTGTTGTAAATTTTTTATTAAACAAACCCCTTTTAAAAAGGTTTATTATATAATTATAGAATATATTTATTTATTTACACTTTCATGCACAAAATAGTACATATGGCTAACTTAATAATAATACCTAATAAATAATTTATTTCGTCAAACGTTAAAGTTACATTATATGATCAGTGCTCGAGGTCACCTAGTAAGCAAAATAATACCTGTAACAGGTGACTTGCTCTTCCATAGCTAAAAATTACAGTATTATTAACGAAATAAAGTAACTAATAGGGAATAATAAAACATGATTTTAGAATCCTATCTTTTAATTTGATTTTAGTATCCTACCTAGTCTCATAGCATTAATACATCAATAAATCAATTAATACATCAATAAATAAATTAATACATCAATCACTACAACGTGAATGTGTATAAGAAAAGGATGATCAAAATGAAATGGAAAAAGAAGAAATTTTCTTGACGGCTCCGTGGCGTATTGGCTTAGCAATGACTTGCTGCGCTGGGGGCCGCGGGTTCGAATCCCGCACGGAACAAGTATTTGTATAGCCTGCACATAATTGCTCCGGGTCTGGATGTTTGTCCTTATGCAATTTATGTTTCTAAACTGCCTCCACGATACAGGAGAAAATCCTAGTTGGGGGTAACGTTTTTTAAAAAAAAGACTTTTGTTTCACAAACAATTTTCGGCTTGGTGGGGCTCTATAAAGCGAAAAGTTTTTTCATTGGTCATTGTTACTGCCGTTATGTAGACACTAGTTACGATGCGTGAATATAAAATTTGAATCAGGTGCGTGCAATCACTCTGGGAGCTCGTAGCAAACTGAACGTGCGTCCAACGTGTGGACGCGGCGGCCAATACTCTGCCACAACCCTTTGATCTTTTGTAAAAAACCGGCGGCGGTTTTGGGCAGCGGTAGTCACTTACCATCAGGTGAGTCACATGCTCGTTTGCCCCCTCTCCTATAAAAAAAAGAAGTCAAACGAGCGACAGAAGATTGGCAACGCCGCTATTCTTTCAACGTAGTGCATCTAGTTCAAGGTTAATAAGTACGGCATCGTTGCATAATATCTACTTACTACGCGTTCATTTCGAGTTTACCGTCGCCGACCGTTATGACGTCACAGCTGACGGTACCGTAGACAAAACTATTATTGTGAGTGTTTTAATTATTGTACGAAATTCGATTTTTAATTGGTTATCCTGTACAGAGAAATGGAGGGCAAGCAAGTAGATAAAATGCATACTCGTATTATTGAATAATTTATTTAGTTAGTAAAATAAAATAATAACACTGAGTAGAAACGTGTCCGATAAAATAAAATATTTTATTATAATTTAATTATATATCCTAAGTAAATTATTTACGAAGGCGCGAAACCAGTTGTTTTATCAAAATCGTACGTCCCTGTATCACTGCCATCACTGCATTCTGTGTTTATCACATATTATCGAACGTAAAAAGTCAACCGAAACAAAAAACAACTAAAACAGTAACAAAAAAGAGATCGCACGGGAGCACAAACAACGGACGTAGATATATATCAGCGTTGCTATCGGTACTATATGGGCGACGCTTGAGCCGCAGTATGAGGGAGCGCGGCGGGAGGTAACGGCATTCATGAAATGGACACGTAGTACGAATGATGATATTTGTTGCACGACAATATCGTCTGCACGCCATCTAGCGTGCCAATGTTTAAACGATGTTTTTGGCGCTTTTACTTGTCAAGTTGTCAAAATTCACTCACACTACTAAAGAAGTGTCAAAATTTTCCTAGATTTCACTATTGTTTTTCTTAATATATACTGTAAGTTATTTTCTAAGAAGGTCAATCGCGAGCACATTTCAGTGTAGAAAAGTAATAAAATGATTAGTTTTAAACAAATAGTGTCTGTGTTTAACGTATATAGGATAAGAAAAATGTATGGCGCGGCTATCAGAGGATCCACCTTAATGTAAATTTCTAAACATACATATTATAGATAAAACGCATGTCCTGGTTTTTCTCACACATAATAAGCTTTAGATTTTACCTTGTCTGGGTCCAAAATGCGAGAGTGGCTGTCTTTCCGGCATTGAAGGACGTCGATCGATACCATCTTCGTCGCTAAGTAGAAGTGCATCCAAATCGTCTTCCGTTTCTATTGTTCCATCAAATAGTTCATTGTAATCCTGCAAGGCAATAACAAAAATTACAAGTAGAATTTGCTTGTTTGGTGTGAGAGAATATCTGGCTGATTCCGCGTCCTTCACAGGGTTCTAACGACCAACTGATAAACGCTAAACAACTGATTCAAAAACGCTAAACTCAAACTTCACAGATTAATGATGGGAAAGACCACCAATAGCAGCATTTAGAGCATGGGAAAATTCTTGGAAAGGTTCCAGCAGTTAACTTAAAAAAGTTGTTAAAGCGTAATGTGAGAGTTTGCTATCGTAGAATTAGTGTATTATTTTATAAATTGAAGTGATAAACAAACTTCCTTCACCACCTGATGTGTCAGTGATGGCTACTGCAGCCCATGAATACCTGCAACCAATTTCAAACAAAGAGGGCTACAGATTCGTTGTCACCACTGAGGCCTTGGATGGAATGCCTCACAGTCTGTAACTATACTGGCTATCAGGAATACAGCAGCGCTGGCATTACTATTTAGAGACAAAGATATGTCAGCAGGTGGTACCTACCAGAAGAGGACACCTACCACATATTTACACAATAAGTGTTTTCTTCAAGATAATGCCTTTAAGTTGCACAATTAATGTCTTGTGTTTTTTCTCGTAGACTCTTTATTGTTATTAAATATTCATACGTACAAAACCTATTAAAGTCTGCTTATACGAGTAGCTTTTAATAAGTCTGCTTTGTCACAAAATGCTGTAACATCATAATGATTTGAAATTGACAAAATTACTTTGTGATTTCTTTCCTTTCTAAACACTATGATTCATTTTACCATAATATGATTTTTTTTTTATAGGAGAGGGGGCAAACGAGCATGCGGCTCACCTGATGGTAAGTGACTACCGCCGCCCATGAACAACCGCAACACCAGGGGAATTGCAGATGCGTTGCCGGCCTTTTAAAAAGGAGTAGGCTATATATAATATAAGCTATGAATAATATAAGCAATTAGACCTTAAGATCACACCAGACTACTCTTTTCTGAAAATCAATGTGTGAATAACCAAGTATAAGTGATGTTCTATTATGATATATATTGTTCATACAAAGATTTTTGGGTTTATTTGGCAATTGACATAGTGTTTTCGGTAATAAGAACAGCATTCGTAAATTATCCGTATACACAATTGACAACTTTATTTATCCGTAAACAAAAGGTAGACATATGCATAAAAGTTTTTACCTTAGCTTCTTGAATAGTGGACGGATGATGCGGAGACTCTTTGTCGGCAACCAACAAGGTCCATAGCGGAAGCGGCGGTACTGATGTCAACTCAGCGTAATCTAATTGTGTGTCTTCGGTGATCTGTACATTAGGTTTGTATTATAATCTATTTTTTTATATTTTACCTTATTTTACTGATTGTTATGGTTTAAATATTAACAGTAAATATATAAATATAAATTCAAAAATACATTAAATTGGACACATATGTTAAATGTCATATGATATTTATAAAACATTATAAAAATAAAATCAATTTAAAATTTTAAAAAAATTAACAAAATAGAGTTTTAATTTACTTATTAAAAGGTGAATTAAGATTACAACAAAGTAAATATAAAAAGGCAGGTGTTATAATACATAAAATATAAACATACATATCACATACACAGACCCAAAAAACATACTTTGAACAATACACAAGCGTGAACTGATAATATGAGGTGTAAAAGTGAGTTTACTTTTAACATAGCATGCATAAAAATGCAGTTTATGATTGTCCAAATTATATATTCGTTTTAAACATAAATAAAGTATTACATAATTAAAATAAATTTTACTTAATTATAATTCATATTTTAAGTAAATGCTGTATTATCCCATGTTCCCGTCGAATCACTTTACAAGCAATAACGTTAGTTAATCCCTGTACATTTAATAGATATCTATAAATTAATAAAATTGCTGCCCAGGATTGTGAGACTCATAAGTTGTCTAGAAATGCAACACAACTAGCATTGTTGGGAAGTCTTATGTACAGAAAAGGACTTCAAAAGACTGATGATTTGGGGCATCGTTTTACAATTAGTTGTGACAATGTAGTGAGGTGGGTGCACGGTACCTGTGTGACGCCGTCGAGCGGCGAGGCGGCGCCGGCCGCGAACGACACCGACATCGTGCGCGAGCGCGACCAGCCGCGCTGCAACACGCACACGCACACATGCACGCGCCGCTGCACACATGCACACCGCATGCGGCAGCGACACCATTGCCAACACTCATATGCGAATCTTACGCACATACATTTCACATTTATTAATGGAATTAACCATCTCAATATTGCGTGAATCCTTGTGCTCAGTTATGGAATGTTTATAGAGTGCTAAAATGCAAAGTATTAACAGCCTACATGCATCTCATTTCTGAGAAGGATTTATGTTATTTTACTTTAACACTTTCACTGTCCAATTTTCAAACACAATAGTATGACAATAGCTATGAACTACATATATTGTGTACTACACGGGACAGTGAATGGGTTAATGTAGCTAAAGGAACGCAATTTGCTTTTTATGACAATCCTTTAAATGACAATAGATATAATTATTTCTTATATTTACGCGAACACTACACATTGAATAAAACCACTTTTACGAATTATGTCGCGTTTAATTAACTTATTTTTATTAATTCCCGACGTTTCGAGTGCTTTACGGTGACCACGGGTGCTATAAAGCACCCGAAACGTCGGAAATTAATGAAAATATGTTAATTAAACGCGATAGAATCCGTAAAAGTAGTTTTATTCAATGACAATAGATATGTTAATGTTTATACAGCTTATTTTATTATATTTTTCTTATATTTATATCATGCTTATTATTTTATATAAATTATAGTTTAATAGGACACTTTATGATAAGAACACGTTTTCACACACACATATGCACCTAAAACCATTTGCAACCAAAAACATGATTTTAGATGCACGTGTGTTTATAAGGGCATGGTCGTAATAAAATCAGCATCAAAGTTACCGCGTCACTTGAAACGTACGTATTGATTGATTTATCTGTCTTCCTTTATTGGTCTGAAATTTAGGTACGTTTTATATTTCAATATTGAATTTATTCCAATAACACAATTATTTATTTAATCAATAAAATATTTACACAAAACATTTATTGTGGAGAAAACAATAAATACTAAGAACATGATACATCTGTCATGCTAATATTAATTACTACATAAAACTTACTGGGAAGAGATATTGCTTGTGCTTTTTAAAATTCAAAAATGCTATGCGATGTTTACGATATTTTTTTATTTCTTTACGTCTTATATTTCACATATTGTTTAGCAGTTGAATAACTCACATTCCAATGAATGACTATCATAATATTATACATTATACCATGTGATTTTTACCTGTCTTGAGAGACTGTCTTCATCGCCTTGAGAACTACGGCCTGTGTATGTGCCACCGATACACCTGAAAATATATGATATATATTATACTTCCGGTTTTTATACCAGTTTAATAATGGGTATTCATAAAATAAATATTAAAATAATGAAGTATCGTTTACGATTAATTGATAAATAAAACTTATTTCTAACGTCGAAAAACAAAACTTTAATTCAACAAATCTTTAGCAGGTAATATAACTGTTTATTATATAGTATAAAGTGCTATTATGTTATAACTAGCATTGACCAACCTGACCAAATGAGCAAGTATCGCCTTCACCCATCGAATCTTTCCGCTGTTCAGTAACTCCATTAGTTGTTTCGGATGATATTGTGGTAGAACTGGACAAGCCATTTGGGATGCCTCGAATAATCCATAGTCAGGCATGTAATTTAATAAAGGCTGTGGAAAAAAATATTTAATTATAGCATTTTATGAGTTAAATCAAAGAAATCATCGCAAATACAATACGATTAATAAATCTAAAACACAAATCATATTTTTAAACTCATTAAACTGTCGGTATTAATTTTATAAAGTTTTGAATTTCATTACAGCTGCTCGAGCTATAAACTCATTGCAACATACATACCTGAGGTTGATCTGATTGAGTTTTATTTCGGCGTCTAGCGTCTCGTTCCAATAGTTGTAAGTTTATTGAGGAAACTCGTTGCAGATGTGGTACGGACACACGCAAGTCTGAATCGCGGAGAGCGCGATTTTCACTGCATTCCTCAATTTCCTAAAAACAACATTTAGAAAACTTAAATAAGGACATCTTTCAATATCATTTGCTCTATAAAATAATTAATTATAACATTGTACCTGAGCCTGTCCCGAAGGTACTTGAGGGTGCTCTGGTTTCCACTGTGAGTATACATGCATTTCTGAGTCCATCCCTACCACTAATATACCGTCACGAACCCAAGAAATCTGCATTGGAAGCGGTGGTAAGCCATCAGCAGTTTTTAAGTCAATTCGTCTTAGTTGCATCCATCTTATTTCTTCTACAAATAACGGCGCCGCGAGAGATGAGGCCTTACGTAGTATTGGACGGTTGTTATTTATTGATTCTTTCATTGCCTGTAAATAAGTGTAAATTTATAAAAAAAACATGCTTGAGTGTCGTTGAACTTTCGGTTGGAACGAAGTTCCTTTCGTATTATGTTATTATTGATTAACGTATTATATAATTGATTGACAAATACAAATAAATGTATTACATACTAGCGTCTATTAAAATGAAGCGTTATTAAAATAACATAATATTTTTTCATGGCAAGATAAGAAAAAGTGCGAGGGAGATGGACATTATTTCATCTTGCTTCCTTATAGCCGCCAAGGCCCTCAACGCTACGTCAGAAGGGGTCGCGACGGAAAAATCTTACACTTATTTCGCCTAGCCCCCATCCGCCAAATTCGTACCGTCCGATAAAGAACTTCGTTCCAAAAGAAACTTAAAAATTAACGTTTAAATTTGTAAACAAATTAAATTAGTGTGTTTCATACCTTCAAATTCGCCTGGGCGAGGTCACTCGAAACTGGAGTAAAAAGTAATAGTCTAGAGCCTACAGCTACAGTCAATATATGCGAGCCATCTTCTTTTGAAACCCAATCTAACTGCACCAAATGCTTCTGCGTTAAGGGACAAGTGTTGCCGTTCTCCATAATACTTCTACGAAGGGATTGTAAAGTACTGAATGATGGCACTGCAAGAAGTCCTGCCGATTTACCAGTGTCGCCTTCACCGTTGCGGTTGTTTCGGCTGTCGTCTGATGATAATGTTTGCAGAACCTGGAATAATATTTTATAATAAAGCGAAATTTATGTTACAATAATGAGAAAGCTGTGCATACTCTGATATATTCTCGGCTGTTGTGTTACAATAGTTAACAAACAATTTCATGTATATCGACAGATGGCGGAATGTTAATTTCAAATTATCATCATCATCAGATCATAAGCAGTCCACTATAAATGACAATACGTAGTTGGAAGGATTAGTTATAAAAATATTGATGATAGTGGATTGGTGATGGCAGTACCTGATTCACACCTTTGTTACTGCTTTCTGTCGCTGGTGTGGGTAAAAAAGGTATTCTGTCACTTGTCCAAGGTCACAAGATCTTTTTGATATTTCCGTGAATTAAATTTAACGATTTCACTTTTGTGTCTAAATTAAGTATACAAATCGGTAACAGGCACTATTATGTAAAATGCAACAATATTCTCGAAGTTTTATTTATTGGAACATAGAAAGGACAAACGAAGTACAACAACAACAATGGTAAGCAGTGTGATGACTTGGTGAGATATGTAGGAAGTTGATGTATCCAGGTGTTCTTTGAAGGGGTCCTATGTTCAGCACTGAACTTGTGAAAGGCTGTAATGATGATAATAATGATGAGAAACAAAGCCTGGTTCTGGGTTGGAAATTAGCCACCATTATGGGAAACTCACAAGATCGTGGTATGTGTGTTTCAGGGCGTATGTGTTATATAATATATATATATATATATATAAATAATAAATAATTATGCAAGTGTTAACATATTATAACACTTGCATAGTTATTATTTTTTTATTCGCTTTGATTATTTGCAGGTTGTCGTTAAAGCCAAAAATCGACCATAAGGATGTCAATTGTCCATACCACCCTGGATAGTCAGGATGTATTTTGCGTTACCTTTCGTCATCATAATATGATCAAAGCGCCCGCTGATACACCTGAAACAAGAAAACAAGAGTGGTGTGCGACGGTAGAAATGGCGTCACCTGCGTGAGCCGCTGCTTCTTCTGCATGAAGGAGGTGTCGTGCAGGTAGGAGAGGTCGATCTGCGTGTCGGCGCCGAGGCCGACGCGCGGCAGGCTGACGTTGCGCAGCGGGATGGTGTCCTCCAGCAGCCACTCGGCGCCGCCCGTGCTCTCGCACTCGTACACGCACACGCACAGGTTCACGAAGCGCGCGTCGCTCGCGCCACTGTTTCCGTTGCCACCGCCGCTGCCACCGCTGCCTCCGTTGCCTCCGCTGCCGCCCTTCGGCCGCGTGAACGAGCGCCCGCATTTGTACGCACACGCGATGCGACCCGAGTACGCCGCGCTTATGTGCAAAGGCTGTCCTGTAACGAGGCGCCAATCGGCGATCAGCTACGCATCCCTCGAAATGTATTGACCCTATTTTATCATGATGAACTACAAATTTACAATACAAGGTACAATAAAATTACAACAATACGAATGCATAAGTCAATACTTTTACGTAATGAAATAAATTGAAAAGTCAATCATCACACTTTTACGTATCAAACTCGATCGTGGAAATACCACGTTCTCACAGTGCATCAGCGTGAAATAGCAACTTAATGCCGCTGTGTTTCGTATAGTGGAGTGTAGAGAACCGGAGAACTTTTTTACTACTTGACGCATTTACATTTTTATTCTTAATCGAGGATTAACGTATGAATCTATGGGCCCAAGCATCCTGTTCACATACCATGAGATCGAGTATGTGCCTGTTAATCAATTTTATTCTATAAAACTTTTTAAATTAGGTTAGATACTTTTTAAATTAGGTTAGATACTTTTTCTAAGACAGACAATCAATATAAGCTGTGTGTCATGCGCCATGCTTCAGAGATGACTGTTCAGAGATGATACATCTTTAGCCTTCTTTGTTTAAAGGTGGGGTACAATTTTCATAGACTTACGTTTAGCTGTACACTTATAACGTTGCAATGAGACATTCCAATGTTATTTCAAAATAAGTATCAGTTAATTTAAGTAATGTTAAACCCTCCTATGTCATTTTCTCAACGTCATCTCAGCTTAATAATAGCCAATTTTGGTATGTTTTTTTTTTAGAAGAGAACTAAGAAGCACATTATCCACCTAATGGTGAGTCACTTGATTTTGTTTCGCATGATCAACTTCTGGCAAAGTTAGAGCGTTGCAGCGTTTGAGGCCTTGCTTTGAACTGGCTAGAAACATACTTGCAAAATAGAATGCAATCAGTTTAAATCGCAAAACTGGACTCTAACCATGTAGAGAGAAACTACAGGCCTGAGTTTAGGGAAAATAAGTTCCTCAAGGAAGTGTATTGAGACCTCTTCTATTCCTGATTTATATCAATAATCTCCCAAATGTGACAAAGCATCGATGTATCCTATTCGCTGATGATATATTTGTAATAGTGACAACTGATAACAAATTGCCATTAAATGACCACAAATATGACTGTTTGGTGTGAATCCTCAGATTTGGTGGTCTAGGATTTAGGTTCCCGTACCAGAGGCCTTTATGGGGTTTAACGGTTTAAGTTAATTCTTTGAAAGTAATTGTGCATCTTAGTTAGATTAATTTGCGTGTCAACGAGGCGTATTTTGACTCTGGCGCGACGTGTTATTCTGGTGCCGAATTTATAATTTGTGATAAGTGAATCCGGGACATTCAATGTCGAATTTTGTTCTACTGTTCTTGCCGTGTCGAATATCACGTGTTCGATTCTGCGATGAGTGTGGAATTAGGCGAATTGAAGTTAGTTAAATGTACAATGAAGCTAAGAGACTGAATCAGTGACAGTGAAGAAAGAAGTGGTCCGGCGCCGAAGCAGTCTGAAGCGATGTAGCATTTTGGAGCAGCCTGGAACTCGGCCGCTGCTGGTCGCCTATGCTTGCCAAGGCCCCACACATTCACACCTCACTGTACACTACTAGCCATCCACTATTACACATACTCACGGCCTGCCCAAGCCTTGGTGCGAAGTTAGCTTCGGATAATGGTAAGTACTATGTGTTTCTAGCTTTCTCCCATATAGTTTATTGTGATAGGAAATTCCATGTGGCCACGTGGCCCCGTCCCTCTGCTGCCCGTCGATGGGATTACTCATGGGCCCTAGTCCCGTCAACCTTTGTTGGGGCAGCTACAAAGGGCTGTTGGGCGTGTACAAAGTGGTAGCAGAGCGTGGTTCCGGGTTCGATTCCCCGGTCGATCCCGACCATAGTATTTGATAAAAATTAAACAATTTTGGTGGCAGGGAGCGTTTGTTTGATTGGTTTAATTTGTGTCTACAATCACGCCCGGCCGTAATACGTAAAATTAAAATTCTTTTCTTTTGTTCCTTTATTGCTTGCCTTTTTTTGTTGTTAGTGGGTAGTTGCGATTGCCACGCCCTAGGTTGCGCAAGCGAAAGTTTGCTAGAGAGATGCGTTGGGTAGGTAGATGGATATTATCACGTAATCGGATAATTATTGTTGTCGTATAATTATGGTTGATTACTTATCAAAGGGTCGGTTGTCTGAGCGAGGCATTTTTTGTAGATCGAACGGGATGTGTATCTTTATTGTATTGTTGTTCGTATTTAATCTAATAAATGGTAATAATATAAATCTAATAAGTGGTAATTTGTATTTGTGTAATTGTATTTAACTTGATTTGATAGGAACGGTATTTTGTTACTCGTTAATTCTTTTTGTATTTGTTAATTTGTAATTTGAATTTGAGCCGCGTAGTAATTTGTATTTAGAAGTAATGCCATCGCGCGGCTAGGGCTATCGCCATGCCGTATTGTGTCTGGGTGCGAACGGCGTTTCTTCTCAGGGCTCTCCGGGCCCTCGACTCCCACGGGCGGGGGCGCGCGGCCGCGCCACTTGTCGGGGGGTTGTTCTCCCAGGGGCGGGGGGGTCGTCACCCCCGCCCTCAGTATGTTGAGAGGGACTTCACTGCCACTCAGCGATCAGCTAGACACTTCTCGTCCTCGTCAGCTGAGTGGCCGCGGCTCGAGGTACTACCGTTCCCCCTTTGATGTAGGCAGCCCAACTAGGTAGCTGCCGCCCTAGTTCCCACCACGGCCGTCTCCACTAATTCTGTGAGCCGTCAACAGCTCACATGTCAATCTGTTCTCTTGGCGATGGCCTCAGTGAGGGCGTACCGCCCGAGCGTCGAGTGTTTGACGGTACGCGCTTTATTGTTCCGGGTTCACACCCGGGTTAGCCTCTGCTTAGTTGTTGGGAAGACTAGGGCTTCATGGGAGCGTTGAATTGCGCTATTAGGGATTGTTAGATTTGGTTTTGGCCGAGCACTTAATTAACGATGCTTTGAATTAAAATTAAAACTGGTTTTGTGCCTTCCGCGAAATGTTCATATTTGTGGCGGTTGTGATTAAAAGGGTTGAATTTAATATACTTCTTGAATGCTTGTGCGTATGTTTTTGTAAATGTATTTGATCACTGTGTTTGTTTGTTGCACGGAGGATTGAAATTGAATTGCATGCCCTTTGAATGCTTGTCCATATGTTCTGTAAATGTGTTTGATCACTGTGTTTGTTTTGTTGCACAGAAAATTGAAATTGAATTGTGTGACCTTTAAATGCTTGTGCATAGGTTTGTAATTGTAGTTGATTACTGTGTTTGTTTTGCGCGGAAAATTGAAATTGTATTATGTGCCTTTTTGAATGCTTGTGCATACGTTTTGTAATGTATTTGATTATTGCGTCTGTTGTGCTGAAAGGAAAATTTGAATTCATTTGAAATTGAATGACGCGTTATTTGGATATTTGTATATATGTTTTGTGGATGTGTTTTGTCATGGTGTTTTGTTGAAGAGAAAGCTGAGATTGGATAACCCTATTTGTGCCGAATGGAATAAAGAGTCATCCCTCCTTTGGGTTTCGCATTTTGTTGGCACTGTCTAAGATATTTATTTGAAATGAGAAATAGGGCTGTCTCTTACGTTTATCGTTTTGTTTAATTTGCCAGTTTGACCTATGTGCATCGGTGATTAATTTGTTTGAATTAATTCTGTAGTTGAACATTGATGCATTTGAAAAATTAGTTGAAATATGAGTATAGGACTGCTTGTCTAACAGGCTAGCTAGTTTTGGAGATTATCAGATTGAAATCAGCTGCCGCACTATTTTAGTAAATGATAATATGGTGGGTGGCTTGGTTAGGCCTACTTGTTGAAAATTCATACTAGGGACTATATGTGCGTTTCGTTCGGCTCTCCACAGACGACGTTCATGTGGAATTTGTGGGTGCGCTCTGCACTGAAGCTTAGGAGGCCACTCTGGGCAGCTTCGTGTAGCGTCGCTGTTTGCAGACCTGATGCGGTCGGATTGCAGAACTAATCATAGGGGCACAGATAGGTGTTTGAAAGAGGTCGTCGGACTTCTATCCAGTACAGGACTTGTTAAAGTGCTGCGATGCCCAGAAGCCTCCGCGGTCAGCCTCCCCATCCAGTGGAGGCTGACCCTCCAGCTTGCCACATTGGGGCTATCTTTTGAGGCGGTGGCTAGGGTTGCAAGATCTGATGGGGTGCCTAAGTTTTGGTGTAGATTCGGTCTTGCAACGTGCCGTCGCGACCCTGTCCCGCTTGTCGGTTTGCTCGCGGACCTAAGTCCTTTTGTCCGGGACGGGGGTTTGTTTAGGCCAAAAAAGGTAATTTGTACGATATCCAATCACGTTCCACTTTGCCAATCGCCCGATCGTACCAGGTGTCACGCGTGTGTCGAAAAGGGGGCAGCGGAAGGGAGCTTCCCAGCGTCTTGGCGGTCGGGCGAGACAGTAGGTGACGAGTAGTAGCTTGGGAGCAGCGATCCGGTAAGGCTGAGTGTTTCGACTACCGCTGCGGAAGTTGCGCGAGACCGGTTTCGAGTGATTAGGGTCTAGAATTTGGGTTTGGGCGCGGCTTCGCTACGTAATTGGGTTTCGAGAAATCCGCCTCGGATTTGGTGGTCTAGGATTTAGGTTCTCGTACCAGAGGCCTTTATGGGGTTTTACGGTTTAAGTAAATTCTTTGAAAGTAATTGTGCATCTTAGTTAGATTAATTTGCGTGTCAACGAGGCGTATTTTGACTCTGGCGCGACGTGTTATTCTGGTGCCCAATTCATAATTTGTGATAAGTGAATCCGGGACATTCAATGTCGAATTTTGTTCTACTGTCCTTGCCGTGTCGGATATCACGTGTTCGATTCTGCGATGAGTGTGGAATTAGGCGAATTGAAATTAGTTAAATGTACAATGAAGCTAAGAGACTGAATCAGTGACAGTGAAGAAAGAAGTGGTCCGGCGCCGAAGCAGTCTGAAGCGATGCAGCATTTTGGAGCAGCCTGGAACTCGGCCGCTGCTGGTCAACTATGCTTGCCAAGGCCCCACACATTCACACCTCACTGTACACTACTCGCCATCCACTATTACACACACTCACGGCCTGCCCAAGCCTTGGTGCGAAGTTAGCTTCGGATAATGGTAAGTACTATGTGTTTCTAGCTTTCTGCCATATAACTAAAACTATATTGTGATAGGAAATTCCATGTGGCCACGTGGCCCCGTCCCTCTGGGATTACTCATGGGCCCTAGTCCCGTCAACCTTTGTTGGGGCAACTAGGGGCGTGTACAATGACATTAATGAAACTATAATTCAAATAATTAATTAGCTTAGAAATAATAATTTAACTATCAATATTGACAAAACAAATTTAATTAACTTTAATAATATACAAAATCTGACATTAAATATAAATTATGAAGGACAAATACTTAAAAGTACAATAACAACGAAATTCTTGGGTATAGAAATTTATCAAAAATTTCAAGTTACAAAGAAAGAAACAACAAGTTCAGAAACAAAATCAATCTTTTCTCGTTTGCAATTTATAAATTGATAAGAATAGCAGAAAGAAGTACAGCACTTATTGCTTTATCCTTTCATTTGAAATCATGGTTCACCTCTGTTCGAGGAGACTCATATAAGCTACAGCCATAATACAACGCAACATGGCAAAAATAAATAATTGTATACATGGTTTACCATGTATACCGTTATTTATTTTTATTTTTAAGTTTTTTGTTAAACTATTATGATTGATAAAGTCAAAAGTTGATATACAGGTTTATTTTTTTATTGTTTATTTATTATATTTATATTTATAGTCTTTGCTGAACAAAGTCTCGGATTGGGGGCGACTAAATCTAGTCCAGTTTAATCCTCAGAAGACACAAGATTGCGCGTTTACCGCTAAAAAGAACCCTATTGTCGTATCTCCTCAGTTTCAAGGCACTCCCCTTCTTGCCTCAGCCAGTATCGGTATCCTCGGAGTCGACATATCGAGTGACGTGCAGTTTCGTGGTCACTTGGAAGAGAAGGCCAAATTGGCCTCTAAAAAGCTTGGCGTGCTCAGCAGAACGGGACAGTATTTCATGCCGGCACACCGCCTGCAACTTTACAAGGCGCAGGTTCGGCCTCACATGGAATACTGTTCCCATCTTTGGGCAGGGGCTCCCCAGTGCCAGCTCCTTCCACTTGACCGCATCCAGCGCAGAGCGGTTCGAATCGTCGACGACCGAGCCCTTTCCGATCGGCGCGATTCATTGGCACTGCGAAGAGATGTTGCATCCCTTTGCATTTTCTTTCGCATCTACCATGGGGACTGCTCTGAGGAATTGTTCGGATTAATCACAGCCGCCAAATTTCACGAACGCACATCGCGGCAGAACTCCCGATACCATCCACACCATCTGGATGATTGGCGGTCCACCACTGTGCGATTTAGAAGATGTTTTCTTCCTCGCACGACTTCTTTGTGGAATCGATTACCATCAGCGATTTTTCCGGACCGATACGACTTAGGGACCTTCAAGAAAAGAGCGTACTTCTTTTTAAAAGGCCGGCAACGCATCTGCAATTCCCTCCCTGGTGTTGCAGTTGTTCATGGGCGGCGGTAGTCACTTACCATCAGGTGAGCCACATGCTCGTTTGCCCCCTCTTCTATAAAAAAAAAATATTGTCCAAAATAAATTATAAAGTGATACTAATATATCGATAAATTAAAGAAAAAGTAATCAATGTATTATTAAAAATGTCAGTTACTTACCTGGAATGTCTATAGTAGATTCTTGATCTTTATTCATCATTTCCCACTCTTTCCAAGTATATTCCATTTCACCATTTTCACTCTTTGTTACATTGCATCTCCAAAACCTATAAAATTATACAGACACAGAACTATAATCCAATCTAAGTATATCTAATGTAACTTAGTATCAACCTGTTCGGCGAAAAAAAAAAGCGATTAAAATCTATCACTCACAAAAATCGACTTCAATTTAAGGAATTTTTAAAGTTGCTCTCTATCTCTTTACACCAAATGACAATAGAAAGAGACCAATTAATTACTACTTAATTTAAGTAAATGATATCAACGATTATAAGTCAGACCGTATATTCACAAGTGTTGATTAGCTTGTAAAATGATTTCTAAAACTTTTGCGCTTTCCACCTAATACAATATCCTCTGTATGTAACATAGAGGTAATAATCTAAGGTAGTAGGTAGTAAGCTTCTAAGGAAGAGAGTGCCAAGTGGTATTAAATTTAAATAAAATGCAAATAATATAGTGTAATTAATAAGATAAATACTGGTTGGCCTGGCAGACGTTATTCTGCCCTTTCTGGCAGGTGGCACAATAAGTTTAACTACGAATTAACACCGAACTTTTTAGTGTAAATAAATATAAAATTCAGGGTTCAGATTTTGTAATTTTCTTTTTTGGCATTAAACCAATGGCATTAGTCCATAAATATAGAATTTTTTAATAACTCGACCATCGTCTCCACAAAAACAAAATAAAATGTATAAATATAGCCTCAACTCAATCGGTCAAGTAGTTCAGAAGTTACATGATCACTAACAGACTTACCAACTATTATTATAATATTTTTTAAATTTATTTGCATTATATTTTAATTACATAGTTATTGATTACACACACACACACACACACACACACACACACGCACGCACGCACGCACGCACGCACGCACGCACGCACGCACGCACGCACGCACGCGCACGCACGCGCACGCACACGCGCACGCGCACGCGCACGCACACACGCACGCACGCGCGCACACGTATGTGTTTTTTTCATTCTTTTTTCTATATATATATATATATATATATTATCGACGTATACTGCCGAAAAGAGCTACTTTTAGATTTCAATTTGAGCAGTGCTTGTGAAACATAACAATAAAATATAATGATGTTACAGAAACAGTTAGATACTAAACATGAAAAAGTATAACAAAAGTCGATAAAGTCTTTATTTGGTTAAAGATAAAATAAAACGAAGTAAAGGGTAAATAACTCATGAAATAAAGATTATAAATATAATCGGAAGAAGTTGATATAGGTAGTAGATAGACCAGGCGCATAGCAGGGTGGTACCTGAGGGTGCTGTCGGAGCAGGCGGTGGCCAGTATGTAGGGCGCCAGGCAGGCCGGGTAGATGGAGGCCGAGCTGAGGTGGCCGGCCGCCGGCGTGGCGTGGATCACGTCCACACCGTCCGGCAGCGACAGCGGGCACTCGCACACCTGACCAACAGAACTTTGTAACGACCAACATCGGACGATTCACATTGCTGACTGGTTTAAACCAAATACTCCGCCGTGTCGCTCCAATGCGTGTTGACAGACTTCCCGTGTTATCCCAAATCACATAATGAAACTTATTCGATTTCGTGAATAATCGTGATAGAGAATGATTGTAATATATAGTTTAAATTTAAAGCATCACGAGTATTTAGTAAGTGTAAGTTGTAAATTATATTCAAGTTACTTAAAATCGCATTTAATTGGTGCCAGCGGAGATAGACTCTGTACTAGAGTAGTCAGAAACATGATAAGACTGAGTTTGGCTACTTGATGATGGTGTGACAAAAACACTTTCAAAAATTTATTAAAAGCTGAGTAAATACGTGCCTCCCCTCATCATATTTCTGACCTCGCAGTGTAAGCTATCTTGGGTAATTGGAACAGCCTTTTATTGAACTGAAATATTTCCAAGTGTTTAGGATTGGACCAAACAATTTAATTGAACGCGGTGGTGTCGCGCTTCTAAAAGCGAAAATTCATCATAATCTCTTGGGTTACGGTATTTTTTCCAAATACAATGAGCGCGCCATTTTTCACGAATGATTTTTATTAACGAAGAAGAATACCATAAAGGATAATCATGTCGATTGTTAGAATATATGTTAATAGGTAGGTAAAGGGAGAAGCATTCATGTAATTTACTATAAAGAATACACAGTATATACGCACTAAAGCCCCCACTTTATTATTGTTGCAGCACGAATGATACGGCTGGACCGGGGAAGGACCACCCTTTTACAGAATACAAGCATAAAATCGCAGCACCGTGCTGCTGTGTTCCTTATATGTTAAGTGAACTTGAGAACGTTTTTACTAGTAATGAGGCATTCCATCTTATTCCTCAGAGGTAACAAAGCATCTGCATTTTGCTACCGACTTCAAAAAAGAGACGGTACTCAATTCGACTGTATGTTTTTTTTTTATGTGTGTTACCTCATAACTTTTTTCTGGATGAACCGATTTCAATGATTTTTATTTGAAAGCTGGTGCTTCTCATGTGGTCCCACATAAATTTGATCAAGGTCTGAACAATAGTTTTTGAGTTATTCTTAATAATTTACATTAAAGTCGGTTGGACAAAATTTTTAATTTTAAATTATCTTAGAATCGTAATCGAGGATAAATATAGGTGTCGATGGGCCATAGCATTCACTCGCCATCACATTAGCAATGTGTTGTTAGTTGTAATAAAAATAGGGGTGGTGCCCAATCTTCTTGTGGGAGTCGTTTTCAGAGCTGTCAAAAAATGTCGGTATAAAAATCACGTTTACGACAGACGATGTGGAGCATCGCCAAACCTCCTTCAGCAGAGATCGCTCCCAGAGATTGTTGGTTCATGAAATATTTTTATTAATATTGCTTCAAGGAGCCCAAGTGTCTCGAATAATCTTAAATTTCCTGTCCGTACGCAAAATATGAGCTTACATGTGAATTTGCGGAATCTGCCCCGGCTTAATAAATCAATCACAAGTTAAGTGACACTAGTTGGGAATATACAATTATGATCAGTGACGTAACTAGGCTTTCATGCGCCCGATGCAGCCTCTATAACTACGCTCTTAAAAAATTTGACGCTCAACTCATTAGTAATAACTCAAAAGTAAATAATTGTAGGCTACTGTCAGATAAACTTCACGACTATTGCCAGCGCTGTCGTAGATGCACATTTCCACTCCTATTATGGATTCAAAATCACGTCAATTAGTGTTTACACCAGATTTGTTTACTTTTGACATGATTTTTTTGCACGCCTCATAACGCGAAACGTTATTAGGCGCTACTCTCAACAGGTCAAGGTCAAGCAATTTTGTGTTTTTAAAATGCCTCTATCATAACCATATTGCACTTATACCATAATATGAGTAGCCGTATATCAAGAAAACACTCTAATTAATCCATTTTATATTTTATAAAAAAATCATTTTATATTGCTACTTTGAAAGAAAAAACCATTTTTTCAAATGGTTTTTTCTTTAAAAGTAGTGGACGTCCGGATGTTGATTTTGTTGTGGTTTCGATAACTCCCAAAAAATTGACGTATCGAGACCGGGTGTTTTTTTATTAGCTTCAGAATTACATCAACTGGTTCCCTATTTCATATCAAGAGCCATAAAATGACTTTCTACTTTTATAAGTTATATTGCTATTAAAAATTTAAAGGCGCTTCCATATTTTTTAGCCCTTGATAGACAAAGGAGTTTATATCGATTTTAACTTTGTATAATCGATTTATTTTGGTAAACATTATTTTTTTTCCCTGTAGGTGATACTACCTGTTAAAATAATAGAGCGCTAAATTTAAAACACGAAAATATAATATGACATTTAAAATATATTTTAAATGTCAGGAATACAATTTATTTATTTCACCAAAATTAAATGAAACGCTCATTAGGCGTGCACTTGGATTTTTCAAACTATAATATGTATTATATCAGCTTTTTTATAGAATAGAGTGACAAACGAGTACACAATCCACCTGATGGTAAGTGGTTGCTGTGGCCCATAGACATCTACATCCATCCTCGTTTACGAATCAAAATGCAGATACCTTGTCAGCCTTGAGGACTAAGATGGAATGCCTCGTATCCAGTAAAAAAGGTCTCCGGTTCTATACACTCACCATACGAAACACAGCAGCATTAAGCTGCTATTTTACGCTGGTATTCTGTGAGAGCGTGGTTCTGCTCTGTATACTGAAGCGCCCTACTAAGACCGCTTTTACACTCGTATTACGTGATAAATAATAGGTATTGTAGGTATACTTGCTACTAACTACCATGCACGACCCAAAAGTTGGTCCTGGTCAGGTCGTTTCTGCGCCCCTCCGGGGTCAGCGCCCTGTGCCTGGACACCGCTGGCACCGCCCTAGTTACGGCACTGATTATATCATAATTTTTAAGTTTTATAAAATTACACACCATTTAACTTATTTCAAAATTTAAAATAAAACAGTTTATTTTATAAGGTAATGATAGAGGAAAATAAAAACCGAGACTGTGTTCAATAATCAGAAAGCTAAGCTAATATGTACTATATCTATGAAAATTAGCATTTTTTACCTTTTTAGTTGAAATTGACAGATGAGAATGTATGGGTGTTTGAGGAATTGCTCGGTCGCCGTCAACACACACAGAGTTTTTACGAGATTCACCACCTTCTTCTTCCTGGACTAACGCACTATCAGGTACGTACATCATGGTGTTCGCCATATCATCTGGAATACACAACTATTGTCAAAAACACAAACTTTATACAGACAATAATATTTTCAAATAAACACCGTATCATACACACATTTGTTTTAATTGTTATTTCGAGACTATTTTTTTAAATTGGATCTCATAATTTTTTAGAGATTTCAGTAAATTAATTTTATTTCTAATTTTTAATATAAAAGATTTACTAATATTTTACTATTTTTAACATTTATAGCACGATCACAACTTTTCAATGGGCATTCAATTTATATCAGAATTCGTCACCTGAGGGGTCAGCCTGGGAAGATACATTCAACCTCCACATATGCACCGTAGATCCTCCATCGGTACGTTCCAACACGACTATGTAGAATGGTTCATTGAACACGGCAGCCTTTCGTAAGTCGACTATAGCCTCATATCCAGCTTCAGTGATCGTGTTCACTTCGGATCCCTCGACGCCTGAATCGCCGCTTTCCGTATCAGTGGTTGTCCTTTCACCTAATTAAGATAATGGTTTTATTTATATTTACTTGAGAAGTAATATTCGTAAATATAATATCTATAATATGCAGACCGAAATACTTCAACAGGTGTCAGTTCGCAACGTTAACTGTGCGAGATATTTTATACTTGTTTCATTAATACAGTGACCATGAATGCTATCACAGCAAGCCTATTAAGGCGTTTCCTGATCAAATAACCTTGAGCATTCGTTCCCTCTTTGCCGCACCCCACCTCTACCATACATCGTAAAATACTACTAACGCCATATGACATTAGTAGTAATTTACGAATATAAGAAAAATCACAAACCTTAGAATGCACAGACACGGCATTCAATAAAAAAAAAATTAAAGAAAGGAACGTTTATTGATGCACGTAAATAATTTTGGTCATGAATTCAGTGACAATATTAATAACATCCATGAATAATTTCATATTTTATTCTAATAGAAGTATTCATGGTCTTCTATAACAAACATTGTGCGGCGTTAACTATTTAGATTGATCGTGAGGTACCTGTTATTCAGACAGTGATAAAGTAGGAAAGTAAAATATAAAAAATAAAGTAAATTTCATTATTATTTACTATTTTAAAGTATGTACCTATACAGGGTCAAATTAAATTAGCTAGTGAATCTCCGCAGGCTTGATGGGTATCGATGTCTAAATATTATAATTGTAAAGGCAACGATTAAATGAGGCCAGTAGACGGCAATAGGCGTGCCTTAATATCGTATAGAACTGGTAATATAAGATGCCTGCCTAAGCTTTCGGAAAATCACGTGACGAAAAGACAATTTAATAATATCTATATATAAAAATCACGTTTTTACGTGGTAGAGCTATGCTGCAGCTATATTAGTAGTATAGTTGTAGCACGAATGGGCACTCATCAAGCGGAACGCAGAGGTAAACCTCTACTTCACGCTGGTATTCTGTGAGGTCGTGGTACCACCCCGGTTCGAGCCGGCCCATTCGTGCGACAGCAGAAGCTGCCGCGTGGCTCTACCACTGTTATTACTATTATAAATAAATTCGTTCATATAAAAACGCATCACAAGAAATAATGTTTCAATATATTTTAATTAATGTCCTCCAGACTTAATTTCGGTCCCGACAACTAGTCTCAACGGAGACAAGCTATCTGCGCAGAACAGGATTATAGTGCACGAATGTGTGCGCAAGCACAGGTGTAGTGTCTATTTCCTCACTATCATAATTCGATAGGACGGAAATCGGACATGACCGGAGAGATCAGGCGCAGGACCAAAAGCTTTACGTGCTTTCCGAGGCACGGGGTTGAAGCACAGCAAACTTCCTGACTCCGGGCTGCTCTACTGGCAATTTCTTTACAGAAAAACGCAATAATTTTGGCCCTACCGGGACTACACGATCAGCAGTCGTGTTTATGATCACAAAAACAACGAGTCAGTTATATTAGTTAATTAATATACAAAATATAATGAGTGATTGTTACAATCGAACCTTTTTTCTTTTAATGTAGCTGACGAAGTAAACGATATAAAAATTACGAATTTTCTGCCATTTAGTAGTACTTAATATTTTTTTTCTTCTGACCTTACGAAAAGAGACCACACCATCAGGTGGTCGGTTCATCAGTTAGTTTCCTACTCCAATATAACAGAAAAAGGTAGTCGCGTGAGTGAATGAATGAAAAATTCAAAGTAGCCAGCCTTTCGGTTTTCTATAGGATGCATATCGGAGTGTGCGCAGGAATTGCATAACTTAATTCCTCCCTTTCCTTTCCACCATCGGACAACCAGACGTTCGGCCAGTCTCCACCCTTTCCTTATTGACTTACTACGCATTCGAACCAAACGGTTTGCTACATAGATCGTCATGCGTACAGCAAAGGTGTGAAATAAGTTACCAGCACCTGTCTTTCCATCCGAATACAATGTGAGTGTCTTCAAGGCAAGAGGGAATAGGCTTTAGTTAGTCAGTGCGCTTCATCATTTTAGGCTACATGACCACTTACCATCAGGTGGGATCGTGGTCAAGCGCTGGCTTAGAATAGTAAAAAAATGAATGCGTGAGTGCGCGAGTGCGTGAGGTGTGAGCGGTCACCGGTAATGAGCTGCTCCTGGAAGACGTGCAGCAGCTGCGTGTTGTGCCAGTCGTGCGCGGCGTCGGCGATGGCGTGCAGCTGGATGACGGCGCCGGGCCGCGCCGTGGACTGCTGCGACACGATCTTGATGCGGTCGTGCAGCGGCACGCCGCCCTCCTCCACGCTCGACTCCGACGACAGCGACATCGTGTCCACCTGCTGCCGCACACAAGCGCATCAATATCTTACATTCACTTCCGACCACTGGGGAGCTTCTACGTGGATACCAAGTGTGGGGTGCTCACATGATTACATTTAGTTAGTTTCAGAACACTAACTCAACGAATGCGTGCGTTCTCCGCGGCCACACCGTACTCATGCCTTAAAAATTTTACAATGAGACAATATTAATAATTATAAATTCATTTTTAACCTTTAACAGTTCACCATTAGAAAGTTATTTTAAATAGGAAAGTGAGTATGATTTAATGATAACTAAACGAAAGCTTTTATAGCACTTGACTCTCGTGAACGAATATAAACTACTAAAGAAAAAAATCACGCAATGGTTATACATATTTCTTATTTTTTCTCCATCGTTTTTAACAAGTTTAATTATTCCCATGATGCAACTAAAATATTTTAAAAAAATTATTATGTACTTTGTAATAACAAATAAATAAGCGCAAATACTCGTAAATCATTATTATCTGATTAAATATAACCTTTCAGCTTAAACTGTCAATTAAATAATACGACATCGTATTATCTATATTTTTCTACTACTTCCCCGTAAATCTACTTCTGATCATGGGTCTCTTCCGTTGTAGAGACAATTTGCAGAGTATTATCCACATTATATTCGAATTAAGTATTTCAATCTCACACAAATGACTCGCTCTATAAAACAAATTATGATGGTTGAGATTACCATAGTGTCCTTATGACGTCGCTCCGACGTTGCTATTTCTGCTAACAGTGTACGAGCATCTATGACGGCTTGAAAGAGTCTCAAGCTCTCGCCATCGCTCGCCACAAAGCAGGCGGATGGTGAATTTGATAAATTTCCTAATGTAGAGCTGTGAAAAAATTTTTTTCAATTGAAACATGCTGTTTTGTAATAACTAAACATATTTAAAAAACATTTTGAAATAATTATTTTGCAATTTATTATGAATCTTGAAACTTGTAGGTTTTAAGACTCATAACAAATTACAGTGTCTCCATCATAAGCATAACAAATAAACAATCTGTGACTGTAAGAATACGAAAATCATTAAATCATAATATAATAACAACAAATAAATATAAACAATTAAATTTAAAATAAAGTTGAAAGCGATATGAAAACTTGGTCTTGTAGACCAATTTCTCATAGTACATTTAAATCATAAAACCTTTTTAAATAAAAAGCACAATATAAATTTTTAAAAACTATCTTTTGGAATTAATTTTGGAGTATTATATTACTTTTATTACATTTGGCTGGAAACCGAATAAAAATGGTGGGAGGTGTCATTGAATATCCGCAGCTTCTTTGATTTAGATTTTAATGCTATGTCCGTAGGGTGACAATTACAAAACCAATAGAATGTACGAGATTATAACAGTTTTTCAATTACATCATGTCTTTTGGAACAAAAAAAATGACGTTAGAATAGCAATTTTATTATTTTTTATGACACTTCAGTTTTAAAATATCTTGATTTACTGAACATCGTGTCTCTAAAACCTCCGTAGGAAATAGCCAAGTGGCCAGTGGGCCCACGCACTCCACGCGCCACATGATCAGCTGCGGGCACACGCCGGTACCTGGGCAGCAGCGTGGGCAGCCAGGCGACGTTGCTGAAGGCGGACAGGTGCGGCGAGTTGACGCGCGCCAGCTCCGACACGCCGCCGGACTTGCCCAGCGGGCCCACGCACTCCACGCGCCACATGATCAGCTGCGGGCACACGCCGGTACCTGGGCAGCAGCGTGGGCAGCCAGGCGACGTTGCTGAAGGCGGACAGGTGCGGCGAGTTGACGCGCGCCAGCTCCGACACGCCGCCGGACTTGCCCAGCGGGCCCACGCACTCCACGCGCCACATGATCAGCTGCGGGCACACGCCGGTACCTGGGCAGCAGCGTGGGCAGCCAGGCGACGTTGCTGAAGGCGGACAGGTGCGGCGAGTTGACGCGCGCCAGCTCCGACACGCCGCCGGACTTGCCCAGCGGGCCCACGCACTCCACGCGCCACATGATCAGCTGCGGGCACACGCCGGTACCTGGGCAGCAGCGTGGGCAGCCAGGCGACGTTGCTGAAGGCGGACAGGTGCGGCGAGTTGACGCGCGCCAGCTCCGACACGCCGCCGGACTTGCCCAGCGGGCCCACGCACTCCACGCGCCACATGATCAGCTGCGGGCACACGCCGGTACCTGGGCAGCAGCGTGGGCAGCCAGGCGACGTTGCTGAAGGCGGACAGGTGCGGCGAGTTGACGCGCGCCAGCTCCGACACGCCGCCGGACTTGCCCAGCGGGCCCACGCACTCCACGCGCCACATGATCAGCTGCGGGCACACGCCGGTACCTGGGCAGCAGCGTGGGCAGCCAGGCGACGTTGCTGAAGGCGGACAGGTGCGGCGAGTTGACGCGCGCCAGCTCCGACACGCCGCCGGACTTGCCCAGCGGGCCCACGCACTCCACGCGCCACATGATCAGCTGCGGGCACACGCCGGTACCTGGGCAGCAGCGTGGGCAGCCAGGCGACGTTGCTGAAGGCGGACAGGTGCGGCGAGTTGACGCGCGCCAGCTCCGACACGCCGCCGGACTTGCCCAGCGGGCCCACGCACTCCACGCGCCACATGATCAGCTGCGGGCACACGCCGGTACCTGGGCAGCAGCGTGGGCAGCCAGGCGACGTTGCTGAAGGCGGACAGGTGCGGCGAGTTGACGCGCGCCAGCTCCGACACGCCGCCGGACTTGCCCAGCGGGCCCACGCACTCCACGCGCCACATGATCAGCTGCGGGCACACGCCGGTACCTGGGCAGCAGCGTGGGCAGCCAGGCGACGTTGCTGAAGGCGGACAGGTGCGGCGAGTTGACGCGCGCCAGCTCCGACACGCCGCCGGACTTGCCCAGCGGGCCCACGCACTCCACGCGCCACATGATCAGCTGCGGGCACACGCCGGTACCTGGGCAGCAGCGTGGGCAGCCAGGCGACGTTGCTGAAGGCGGACAGGTGCGGCGAGTTGACGCGCGCCAGCTCCGACACGCCGCCGGACTTGCCCAGCGGGCCCACGCACTCCACGCGCCACATGATCAGCTGCGGGCACACGCCGGTACCTGGGCAGCAGCGTGGGCAGCCAGGCGACGTTGCTGAAGGCGGACAGGTGCGGCGAGTTGACGCGCGCCAGCTCCGACACGCCGCCGGACTTGCCCAGCGGGCCCACGCACTCCACGCGCCACATGATCAGCTGCGGGCACACGCCGGTACCTGGGCAGCAGCGTGGGCAGCCAGGCGACGTTGCTGAAGGCGGACAGGTGCGGCGAGTTGACGCGCGCCAGCTCCGACACGCCGCCGGACTTGCCCAGCGGGCCCACGCACTCCACGCGCCACATGATCAGCTCCGAGCACAGTCCGCCCGCCGCCGCTGCGTCGTCCGCCTTCTGCTGCCCGCGCTCGTTGTCTGCCAAGGTACCAAGTTGTCAGTGTTTTTCAATACTCACTCAAGAAACTATTATTTAACTCTTTGTGACGTTTACTAATGTGTAAAAGTCCACCATCAATAAATTAACCACATATAAAGAGACGATGAGGCTAATTTACGTTCCAGTTTTAGATACGGCTCGAAGGACCAATTATTGCTTCTTGGATATTCAGAAGAATAAACTAAAGGCGCTGGTAAATGACAGAAAATTTCTTCTTTATTTCCTCGTCGTCTATTCAAACAAGGGCGGGAAGAAGGAGATATCGTGATAGGTGAGAATAGAAAAGAAAAGCGTCTCTCACACACAAGCGGCTTGCGGTGGCGGCTAACCGCGGGCCGCGGCTGCAGCCGCTGTAACAACACACCACCGCGGCCCAAATGGCGGCCTGAAGCGCCATTCGCTGTGGTGTCTGTGCTACGATCGGACGTACGAACATGACAAACCGTGACAGTCTTTATTATATTCAGCAATATTATCATATATTTTGTTTTAATACTAATGCTTTTGTGATCACGATGCGAATTATCATAAAGTACTAGATAATTTTGCACTGTTTCTGTTAAAATCTCTGAATTTAGCACCATTTTTCACGCGGTACACGCGGCCTGTTGTAAAAATTTACAACTGACCGCGCTGCAGCCACCGACTGACAGCGTACTTGCTAACACACACGCATTGGCAAATGGGGCGGAGCATGCGGCCGCGGCCAGCCGCTCGCAGGCCGCGCCATGGCCGCATGGGTTTGGAGACTCATTTACATTGCAAGCGAATACAACTGGCCGCCACCGCAAGCCGCTTCTGTGTGGGAGACGCTTTATGCCATCAAAAACATAACTTGTTATAAAACCAAGTCTCGCAACTCAGTTCTTCTACCGTAAAACGTTGTGAGATCCATGTAATACCAAGTCGGTTAACTTATTCAGTCTCTACTTAAGGGTCCTTCTGTCTTAAGATATTACGTAATTAGCTAACCTAACAACATCTTATATTGACCATATCAATATTAAAAATCTTTTATGTTTTAAATAAATAAATTGACTTGGCAATTTATTTATTTAAAACAATCACGATTTGGCGATTTAAGGCAATCGGGTAACTGGTATAACTAACTTGACGCTATATAATATAATCACCGTGTTTTATATGATATTATTTCCGGTAAACGGATGCGTTCATTACAGTGGTAGACTCAAATTGGTGTTTCGAATTGGTGTTTTGAATAACGAATGCTGTAATATATTTGTAATGGTATTCGAAAAATTAACGAACATAATGCATAAAAGTGAAATGTTTATCCACTCCATTTAAAGGTCACATCACTCTTGATATTCAGGTAGAATAACCTTGTTTATGTAGAGAATAATATATGACTAATGGTCCCTTAGATTGTCGATGAAATGCGTGTTGCCAGTGATAACCTATGGATCTGAGAGGTGGTCCTTCACTGCTGGCTGTATGAGAAAGCTCAAAGTTGGTCAGGGAGCTATGGAGAAATATCCGCAGTAGAACCAGAGTAACCGACATAGCCCAAAGAATTAATATGTTGAAGTGGCAATAGGCCGGCCATATAGATTGAAGAACCGACAACCGATGGGGAAGAAAGGTTCTCGAGTGGCAGCCTCGTACTGGCAGGTGAAGTGTAGGGCGTCCCCCCACTCGATAGAGCAACGACGTGGTAAGACATGCAGGAAGTCAATGGATGCAGGTTGCTCGGGACCGTGCTTTGCATTCCTTAGGGGAGGCCTATGTGAACTTGTGAAGGGCTGTAATGATGATGATGATTATAAAATATATTTTATATCAACTCATTTCTTGTCAATCTTTACATGCAAGTATTTTCACAACTATTACATTTTTACAAATACTTACTTTTAGTATTTTTTTGGTCCTTAATACAGTAAGCGTGGCAACTATGGCAATTATCCCCCTATGAGGCAATCTATGGGGGAAGCCTATGTTCATCAGTGGACTAACAACATAGGTTGTAACAGTAACAGTAATACAGTGGAAGTTGTATATAGACAAGGTAATATTGTAAAGATATATTATATTTAACATAACGTGAAAATCAGCAAATACCAGATATATTATGATGACTTGTTGTCAGCAATAAAGGTAATACTGGATGGCATGTGATGTCATTGACCCTAAATCTATGTCCGGAGGCTCTTGAAGCATGACCTATTGATAGCACCTGTAAAATAAAAAACGTTTTTAATATGTACATGACATTTGTATAATATTTCTTATAATTTATACCTATGAAGAGCTGAGCATGGAATATACATCTCAGCAGTGCAATGACCGCACCTAAAAACCTTTAAGACTGTAATGTAAAGCAGTGCTTAATATTTATATTATATATCGTATATTTCTATTTAACTAATCCATAAAAACAAGTTTATATAATTATTATTTTTACTTTGAATATATCTATGCTGTTTTTGAAGTCTGTTGTTGCTCGATGTGTTATGGTCGTTAGGGTGTTACGGAAATTGGGTTGTGTTAGGACGTTGGACAGTTACGTTAATACTAAACACTGATAATCATAAACAGTTCGCACCGCATCTTTGAAGTTACCTATGAACGGTTCTGACGTACCGCTACGGACGTAAATAGGCACGTTCGTAGCGGTGCATTGTGCGTATAGTACCGTTGACTCCTTCTTAGATTGCGCCGGTGCGGGCTCATTACACAATATCAGAAGCAACCCTGACACCGGATCCACCATGCTTGCGTAATTTGACATGCACTGTAATATTCTATTACGGCAACTTTGTGTCAATAAAAGATTTATTAACTTTTAACATTCACATTTAAAATTAAAAAAAAAAAGATTATTATTAAAAATACATTGAACCTGTGAGAATTTTGATTTGTCGTCGAACGTCAGCTGCCAAAGGTTGAGCGTTCCATTTGTGTGATTGGTTACCATTGAGATAACTGGTGCTGATTCTAACACAGCACCTTCTTGATTTTCACCCAAATCTTCAGTGGCAACACTAGTCCGCCGTTGCAGTTCATTATTATTCTCTTCTCGATGTCCTATATAATGAATAGAATTACGAAAATTTACTTTTCATATATATATATATATATATATATATATATATATATATATATATATATATATTACATATGTTTATAATATATAAAATAATAATACATAAAATATTAGCATAATACTGCTATTTTTCAAAAATTGAGAGACGAGAACAGGAGACCCTTTTTCCCTTTTTAGTGGTAATGAGGCATTCCATCTATGCCAGTGTTTCCTAACCTTTTTTAACCAGGGACTACTTTCATTTTTGTAGTTAGCAGGAACCACAATGTGAATGAAAAAACTGTACTAATCTAACAATAAATTATAATCACAACTTCTAAATAGAAGCATTCATTAACAGTATTATTTGTGTATTTATTGTAATTTGTGTGGGTGTGTGTGTGTGTGTGTGTGTGTGTGGGCGCGTGTGCGCGCGGGCGTGCGTGTGCATGTACGTATGCATGCGTGCGTGCGTGCGTGAGTGTGTATTATTGTGTTGCACTGCCAAATTAATGTTATTTACAACGATTAGGTAGGTAAAATATTTAAATGTTTCGCGGACCATATTTAAGCTCTTGCGGAGCACTGGTTGGGAATGACTGATCTAAGCCGTCAGGCATGAGACAACGCATCTGTCCTATGGTTTTTAATCGGGGATGTTACGACTATTGATGTCTACTTTTCTCTTTTACCGTGAGGACATAAACTTATAGCGGTATATCAACACATTAATAGCAACAATCACAAGTTTTTATAGGATGAAGGTGAGATACGAGCACACAGTCCACCTGATGATATGTGGTTGCTGTGGCCTCTAGACATCTACATCTACCCTCGATTACGAATCAAAATGCATATGCGTTGTCATCCATGAGGAGTAAGATGGAATGCCCCGTTTCAACAAAAAAGGGTCTCCGATTCTCTATACTCACAATACGAAACACAGCAGCGTCAAGTTGATATTTTACGCTGGCATTCTGTGAGAGCGTCCTTCCCCGGTCGAGCCGAGCCATTCGTGCTACAATTATACCAGTAATATAGCTGCAGCATGGCTCTACCACGTAAAAATATTTTCGGGTATTTTTGCGGGTATTCGCCGTGCTAGTCTGTAAATGGCTTAATTTAAATAGGTTCAGTTTAAAAAAAATCTTTAGTTACCATTTTCTTGTGATTCTCTTTGCTCGTCGCCTTGTGTCCACTCATTTTCATCTTTTTCCTCTTGTACACTTGCTAGCGGCGTTGTTACAGTTTCCTGTTGTTGTTGGCCTAAAACAAAAACATTTTTTCCATATAATCAGTTTGAACAAATAAACTATCCAAATATATAAAAATCTTAACTACATTACAATATTATACCTTCTTTTTTTTTATTCTTTCTGCAAAATTAAAATTTTAATAGGAAACTAGGTTAGAATCATATTAAATAATAAACGTTGATACATCAGTCACGTTACATCGACACATATAATTTTATTTTCCGATTATCACGTTTTTTCATTTTAAATTAGTTTTTGAACTTTGTTAAGACATATTTCTAATTCGAATTTTCGAATTGTAATTTTCCAGAATATTAATAAATTCCTTTTTTAATAACATTCATATAACCCACCACGTAAAAATCGATCTTCTTACCAGATTCAGGGTGCTTACAGGTAGTCGGCGCCGACAAGTTTAAAGTTTAAACCTGTTTCTTTATAAGTGACCGCATAAGATAATTATCCTGCACCGATCGGTACCGACTAGCACAGATTTGTCTGTACCGAAAACCTGTTTCTTTATGGAAGCACCATAAGTCAATAATTCATTAATTAATAATTCTTTTATATAATTCATTTATCGTTAACTGATTTTAGATATATCTTTATACATAAAAATTTCGTGTCACATTGTTTGTCCGCGATGAACTCTTAAACTACTGAACTGATTTCAATGAAATGTTTCACACTGTGTGCAGTTTGGTCCAACTTGAGAGATAGGATAGTTTTTATCCCGATAAGTGACCCTCAATTTTTTATTGTGAATTTCAGGAGTTTTTTAGGAAAGCAAATGGTCGTCGGAAATGGCAGAACAACGTCTGCCTGGTCAACTAGTAGAAATGTATAATGAAAATTTAAAATGCTTTAGAATTTGAAAATTCTTATAAATTAGCAGAAATACGGCACTACTGCGTCTGTGAAGTTGCAGTGCGGTTCCTAGAAAGTAGTTCGGAGTTGTGGAGTATGACAAGTTGCACATGGTGCGTGGTGGCGTGGCCCAGTGGATCGGTGCAAGTCGATGTGAGTTGGTACGTGTCGGTGCAAGTCGATGTGAGTCGGTACGTGTCGGTGCGAGTCGATGTGGGTCGGTGCGTGTTGGTGCAAGTCGATGTGGGTCGGTGCTTGTCGGTGCGGGTCGGGGCGTGTCGGTGCGTACCGGGCGCGACGGGCTTGGTGCGGTGGCGCACGTGCAGCGGCTGCGCGGCGGCGTGGTACAGCGCGGCCGGCGTGCACATGGTGGTGGCGTCGCCCAGCGGAAACGCACTCGGGATGCGCGCCGAGAATGACACCTGCGCCTGCCGAATCGCGCCCGCCTGCACCTCGTCCAGCCACTCGCACACCCTGCAACGATAAAGGTTCCCCATCATCATAACAGCCCTTCACAAGTCAACTGGTGAACGTTGGGACCCCTTAAGAAATGTCACAAAGGTTGATCGTGAGCCACCATAAAAAATATGAACTATAAGTAAGCTGAAAATCACAAAATGTCCTATATAAATACTTACCCTCATAGTTACTCCGCGTGAATATTAATTTATTAACTGCCAGCTCATGCGGTACCTTGAGGAGCACCAGCTGATTAGTGACTGCCAGTATGGTTTCCGTCGGGGTCGCTGAGCTGGTGATCTTCTTGTTTACCTAACACATAAATGGGCGCAGCGAGTCCAAGGCGGAGGCATTGGCTGTTAGTTTGGACATAGCGAAGGCCTTCGATCGGGTCTAGCACAAAGCGCTTCTTTCGAAACTTTCTTCCTATGGGCTTTCCGAGAAATTGTTCAATTGGATCACCAATTTTCTGGCTGATCGGAGGATCAAGGTCGTAGTAGACGGTGCATGTTCCGATTACAAGCCCATTAATGCTGGTGTTCCACAAGACTTTCAAGGTTTCTTCTGCATATCAGTTATATGTTGCAAACCGGTAACATTCATTGCTATGCGGATAACAGCACTGGTGAAGCTCTATACACCGGCTGTGCCAATATTTCTCGGGAAAACGTCGCCGAGTACCGGAACAAGTTGTGTCTGAAGTCGAGTCCTTGCTGAAGTCTCAGATTGGGGGCGACTAGATCTAGTCCAGTTTAATCCTCAGAAGACACAAGTGTGCGCGTTTAGCGCTAAAAAAAACCCCTTTGTCGTAGCTCCTCAGTTTCAAGGCACTCCCCTTGTTGCCTCGGCCAGTATCGGAATCCTCGGCGTCGACATATTCAGTGAGGTGCAGATTCGTGGTCACTTGGAAGAGAAGGCTAAATTGGCCTCCTAAAAGGCTTGGCGTGCTCAGCAGAGCGGGACAGTATTTCATGCTTGCACACCGCCTACAACTTTACAAGGGTTCCCTGGGGTTCTCCAGTGTCAGCTCCTTCCACTTGAACGCATCCAGCGCAGAGCGGCTCGAATCGTCAACGACCTTATCCAATCGTCCTTTCCGATCGGACCCCTTTGCATTGTCTTTCGTATCTACCACGGGGAATGCTCTGAAGAATTGTTCGGATTAATCCCAGGCGCCAAATTTCACCAACGCACATCGCGTCGAAATTCCCGATACCATCGACACCATCTGGATGCTTGGCGGTCCACCACTGCGTACGAGCTCTCTGTGGAAAGCTTACTCCTTTCTAAAAGGCCGGCAACGCACCTGCGATTCCCCTGGTGTTGCATTTGTTCATGGGTGGTGGTAGTCACTTACCATCAGGTGAGCCGTATGCTCCTTTGCCCCCTCTCTCCTATAAAAAAATCACAGTAGAACCAAAAAAGTCAACATAATCTAAAGGTCCGTACTCACATTCCGTATTACTCGATAGTTTTACTCCAAAACGAGTAAAAATTTATGTGTGGACCGCAAAACTCGCAACTTGAAGGCTCGCATCGAGCCGGCTCGTTGGAATTAAATAAATGTAATTTACTTCGCACCTACTCGAAGCACGCCGCCGAGCATGACTCGGGCGTACGTACGTGTCTGTCTAGGCCTGGGTCGTTTTCTGTGAATCGTATCTATATCAGATTTCGAATCTTAATCTGATATCAAAACTATATATTTCAATATCTAGATATTCTACGTACGCGTTTATATTTTCTACTCCGATATGCTTTAAAATCCGATACAAAAATTTTGTAGTTACTCTCACCTATTCAATGCGAATCAGTATTGTAGATACGAGTACAGATATATACGACAGGTATATACGAGTACAGATTAAATGTATGTTATGTTATCTTTTTGTGCCAATGCAGATAGTTAATCGTAGTCTTGCTTATTTTAACGTTTTGAACATAATGTAATAAATCGTTTTCAAGCGAACCAGTAAGCGGTTTTTAAATATTGTACCAATATGTAGATTTCGTATCAGCTACGTACTTCTAGTCCGAACGAGTCGAGCGTTAGTCTTCCATTGTTAAGTGTAGATAAAACACGTTTTTATTCAGAAATTGATTTAAGAGTTTATTTCAAAGGGGTTATGGAGGTATTTATAAATTTATATAAACATTGCGATTGTTTATGGAATGTCAAGTCAAAAGATTACTTGGAATTTCTAGACTTGCTGAATGCAGCCACTGTCTCGTTTATTGAACAGACTTCTTTTGGTTCTAACGGTTCGGTGAATACTGAACGCCGCGCGTCGGCGTCGCTCGATAGATAAATACGGAATGTGTGGACGAAAGCCGTTGCCGTGATTTTTATTCGACGTGTTTGCTCGATCAAGTAAAAACTTATGTGCGTACGGAGCATAACAGATCAGTCTGCTGAAGTCGCAATGTACCAGCCATATAACTCAAAGAACTGACAATCGATGGAAAAAAGAGGTTCTAGAGTAGCAGCCTCATACCAGTAAGCAGTGTAGAATGACTTCCTAGCTAGGTGGATTGTTTGATGGTAGCCTTTTTTTTTATTTTATTTATTTATTATATGGACAACAAAACAGATAACAATCAAAATACATTACAATATAATATAAATATAACAGTTTTATGCCAGATTGTTATCCTAAATATGTTGACACATCATTTTTATATGAAATACAGGAGATCAACTCTACGCTTTGCAATGTTTATGACATACATAATTATAAACAATATATAAAATAGTAAACAAAAAATAAAAATATACAAATAAGAAACTTAAAACCTATGTGATATGGGAATGAGTGTGCATAAGTGTATACTGTTTCACTGCTCTTTTAAATGTCCTGGATCTTGGGTCAAAAACATCCATGCCGGAGCTTTTCATGGATATCTCGTTGTAAAGTCGACACATTCTTACTATCGGGTTATAAAAGGAAGTATTATTCTTATAAGTCTGCAGGTAAAATGTCTTGTTAGGAATTCGGGGATTGCGCTTTGTAGTTAAGTTTAATTTACTTAAGAGGTAATCGGAATCAATCTTATTATGGAGAATTTTATGTAAATATATAAGGTCATATTCCTTACGGCGAATAAATAAGGTGGTCACTTTAAATTTGTCGAGTAATTCACTATAACTAACTAGATCACGAGCAAACCCACATTTGTAGCTAAGTATTCTGAGAGTTCTTTTTTGGACGCTTTCTATACTATCTGAATGGACCGTGTAGCAGGGAGACCAAATGACACAAGCATATTCAAGAATGCTGCGAACAAGACTACAATAAACGGTCAGGAAGCTTTGAGGCCGTTTGAAGCCCTTAGTGCATCTCGTTATGAAACCTAGTAACTGGAATGCTTTGTTTTTAATGTACGCATAGTGCTCACGCAATGTTAATTTAGAGTCAAATAGCACACCTAGGTCTTTAACTACCGTTTTCCTGTCTAATGAATCTTCGTTAATTTTATAGTCATAAGTCTGTTTATATCTCTTATTAGTGAACGTTATAACAAAACATTTTTTAACATTGAGGTGCATACCGTTAAGCCGGCACCATTCATATATTGAATCTATATCATCTTGTAGTTTACCGCAGTCAGAAAAGTCCTGTATCACGCGGTATATGTTCAAGTCGTCTGCATATAGAAGGCAAGGACTGGACAGTTTGTAAATCAAATCGTTTATAAAAATTATAAAAAATAACAGACCGAGATGTGAACCCTGAGGAACACCAGATTTAACTGTGACAGGTGATGACATGAAACCTTTGAGAGCGACAAGTTGGCTTCTGTTATCGAGGTACGAATGAACCCAGCGTAGTAGATTTCCATGAATTCCTGACATAGCTAATTTCTTACAGAGTAAAGAATGATTTACTTTGTCGAAAGCTTTCGTAAAATCGGTGTACACGGCATCAACCTGCCCACCCACGGCGAAAACTTCACATAAGTAATTTTTGTACTCTAATAAGTTAGTCACTGTTGATCTGCCTCTCACAAAACCGTGCTGCTTGTTGGATATAAGCGGCTTAACTTGAGAATAAAAATGATCATATAACGCGGATTCGAATACCTTAGCAACACAGCACAAAATGCTAATAGGTCTGTAGTTTTCACAGTTCGACTTACTTCCGGACTTGTGAATGGGTACGATGTGAGCCAATTTCCAAATGGCAGGGAAAACACCGGACTTTAAGGATTTATTAAACAATAATGTTAGTGGTTCACACAGTTCCCTTGCACAATTTGAGAAAAATATAGCGGGAATTCCATCATACCCTGGGCCTTTGCGAATATCTAATTTCTTTAATTTGTTCAATATTGTGGCCTGACTTAGTTCTATATTACACATACTGTAATTACAAAAAGTATCACAACTTACAGTGTCATTAGTAACTAAATCCTGGTTGATGACAGGTTGAGAAACATCGAAAGCTGAACTAAAGTACCGAGAAAAAAGTTCACATATTCCTTGTGTGTCAGAAGAAGTTTCTGTACCAAGAGTCATAGTCTGTGGCATACCTGAACTACCTATTTTATTGCTAACAAAATTCCAAAATATCTTTATGTTGTCCGATAAACCCTCCTCCGTGGAGGTAATAAATGATGCATACGCCGATTCCGTGAGTTTTTTACATCTCGTGCGTAGCAATGCATAAGTGTCGTAATCCCTAGGATTATGATATTTCTTAAAACGACGATGATATTTATTTTTTTCTTTAAGACACTTTATTAATGCTGAAGTATACCATGGTGGATATTTGTTATTGGTTTTACTTACAAGCGGCGTGTGTTTTGCAATTAATTTATTTACGATAGTGTAGAAATTATCGACGGCATAATTTATATCAGGTTCATTCGATAAGCTGGACCAATCAATAGTTGCTAGATCCTTTTTTAAATCATAATAATTACATTTGCGGTAGTTATATCGTATTTGTTGCGCACGTTTAATTGTTTTTAATTTCAAATTTTTCATAATTACAATTTTAAGTGGGGGATGACGAGAATCTAATCGAGTAATAGGCTCAGTAGTTGTTACGAGCACTTTCTCTGTTGTTGATAAAACGAGATCAAGGAGACGGTTATTCTCATTATAGACTGAATTAAGTTGAACTAAGTTACAAAAATTCATAATATCAACAAGACAATTAGATTTAAGGTCGGATGAAATACCCGGAGTCATAACGTTACTATGAGCACTAGGCGACCAACTCAGATGTGGGGTGTTAAAATCGCCAACAAGTAAGAATACGTCTTTATCCTCACCACGAGATATGTTTTTATGAACATTGTCGTAAAAGGCTTGCAAGTGGTCACGAGAAATATCGGGAGGGAGATAACATAAACATAAGTGGAGCTTTCGACAGGAAACATTGCTCGGAAGGATAGTCACCCAAAGATCTTCTACTTGACATTCCCAACTCGTTTGTCTAATTACATGAAATTTTTCCTTAACAGCAATTAATACACCACCGCCTTCATGCTTAGAAATACAACTAGTATGACGGTCCCTTCTGAATACAGTAAATTGAGAATCAAACATTTCAGAATTAAAGACACTGCCTTTGCTGGAAGCATATTTTAAATAGTTGACTTTGCCTGAGATGCACGAAAGGGATGTAAAAAATTATGATGATGGTTATCAAGTTACAAAGTTAATATGATCTAGCGAGTCAAAGTACCTGGATACTACACTATGGTACCTGCATTCCAATTCCCACAGGAATAAACATTTATCCAAATCATATTGTGGAATTGTGTCTGGATGTGAGGTGTTTTTGTTCAGATCTCTTTATTAGACACGTTTAAGGAAAAAATAATATAACACAATATACAAAATGTAAAGAAAAACAAAAAGTGATTAAATTATATTCAATTGCTACACAGCAATTTCTGTCACACAACTCACATACAGGATTAAAAAAGATTTAAGGATAATTTATATTACGTACCATATGAGAAAGCTGCCATCGACGGGGTGTATGGAGAAGAGCAGATCGGGGCTCTGGTGCCAGTCGCGCAGCAGCGCCTCGATCTTCGCGTCGAGCGAGTCCGGCAGGTGCGTGCACGTGACGTCCGTCGCGATCGAGTTGATCGACGTCGTGTTGGACAGGCTCGGGTGGCTGTGGTTGCCGCTGCCTGCTCAAACCGTCAAACACTTCGATCATGACACACCAGCTCATTAATAACCCACAGCTGATTATGGACTTCTCTCGTAGCAGAGGGGATTTATCGCTTCGTGATTTTCAAGTTTGGTGGACCAGTTAACGTTGCTGTTCGTTACGGCTGGATTTTTAGATGACAGTATACATGAAATAGTTATACTGTCGGCAACATCCACATCAAATTGCTAAATGAAACAGGTATTTTAGGCTCTTATTAATTATCTTTCGAGTCAGTCCATTATCCAACAATATACCGCCATCTATCGACCGTGAGATCTTCCTGTTATTTCAAATAGTCGCCTGTTATAATATCCACGGGATGACAGAGTGTGATTCATGTATACCACCAGCACTTAATATTTAATTTCTTTTTCATTTACTTATGTAACGTACCATTTCGACTTTATTTCGGTATAATTTTTTTTCTATAATCAAAGAAGTTCCAAAAGTAAATTAAATGAAAATACTAATAGATTAATGAATGTATGCTGTGTGTTGTAGAAGTCACTATCGGACAATTTGGCTATGAGAATTTTAATGAATCAAACGATGGAACAAGTAACAATTTCAAAATTATCTTAACAATATTATTATCGGCGACGGCTAATTTTATCTTCTTGTGTAATCGTCAATCTAACCATTCATAATTATTACGGAATAAATTAATGAGGATTTTATGCTCAGCATAGACATTTCATAAGCTGACAATCGTACGATTTTTCTCCATTTGCAGCTTTATATTTTTATTAAATATATTCATTTTTAAATCATATGATGTATGATAACTTTCGTTTAATTGTACCCATAATGAATAATTTATTTCAAAGATTACAGTTTTAGTAATAAAGTTAAAGTAGCACTCCTGAATGCATAACATAATACTTACTATATTTTGTTACTATTTTAGGGCCTGCTTAGTAATTTGTTAATCTATTAAGATATCTCTTTTCCTTTATATTAGGCAGCCAAAACTATTTTCATGTTACCAAAAAATATCCCTTATTCCAACGTGTAAGCTGTATATAAACTGAAGCGAAAATACTTATTGTCTTGTTATTTATACAAATACAACATACAATTAGGCTATATTTTAAAATGTCACATGAATGATAACCTTACCTGGTTGTTCATCACTATTGCTATTGTCTTCCGATTGTACTTTAGTCAAATGATGGCTTGGTCGCCTAGATCCTAAATAGCAGCGTGAAATAAGCGACGAAGCATTTAGTTTCAAATTGGGCACGAATCATAGGTTAGCGATAACAATGTCACAATATATATATATATATATATATATAAACGGTACTAGTTCAAAAAGTTATTTTAATAATAATTTATGTGTGGCATACGAACTAACAGTTAAGATTATGAAAGTATTGTAGCTCATGGACAATGCCAGCCAACTTTAATAGGACTAAAATAAAATTCCTTACAGCCTGTAATTTTAATGTCTCCCTTATCCTTCAGACACGACAGAAATTGTGATTTGCAATTTCTGAGATGCAGGTGGAAATTGAACTTTGGCTGCTCGCGTATTATAATGAAATATATTTAAGCCTACACAAATAATATTCTTAACTAATTACAGCATTTATAACACATTGCTAATCATCCCTAAAATTCCCTAAGGTTCCCAGACGTATGCCGGTAGGCGACTGTTTTTACGACAACGTCGTTCCGCATCAGAATATAATTTTTCGTAGGAATAGTTTGCTGATTGTAATCATCATGTATTAATTTAGTTACGATTTTTTACCAAAAATCCTGGGACGAAGAATCTCAATGTGTATTTGCTTACGATCGCAGAGTGCTTCGTCGAATTCGTCTTACATGTTATTTACGTAACATTGTTATCGCCACCCACATATTAACAGCTTTACTTGGCTTATTTTACTATATAAGCATATAGCAGAACGCAAGTTAATGATATAATATAAACAACGTTATTATTTCACATAGTAAGCTGACGAAATCAACTTAATATACTTCATAAATTAAGTAATAATTGAAAGACCGTACTTGATTCATTTTCTCCGTCCGGATGTGTGGTGTGATCCAAACCAGAAACTGCATCCTCATTATCTTCCTTATCTAAGACCTGTGGAAACTATATTTTTAAGTTCTTGGGAACAGTAGTGCCTATTTTACAAAAAGACTTATAATAAAAACAAAATTTATTTAATCATTAAATCAATTTTACTGTCTACTAAATTTTGTTACCAAATTTATTAGAAATTCAATTGATTTTAAGAAAAAAATATGTATTTCTCTTTTTATGATTCAAAGATATTTTACGAGTAGAGTATTATTTAATAATTAGCTTTACAAAACAATATGGGCGAAAATATCAGGCTAGGCCTACTAAAAGCGTATTGCTTAATGAATCCGAAACCCAGAGAAGTTCACATCTGTGCCAGTAGGGAATTTCTTTGTATCTGATACTGCATCTAATATTAATACTAGCGATCCGCCGCGGCTTCGCACAAGTGGTTTGTGGATCTCAACAAGAGCACCACCTACCGGGTTCAAATGTGAATCTAAACCACCCCTACTCAAACACGCACAAAAAATATCATCAGAATCGATCGACCCAGTTTCGAGTTTTAGCGAGACTAACGGATAACAATTGATTTTTATATTGAGAGATTTGCGTAACATCGGTTATGAGTGGATTAGGTAAGAGCCTTGGCATTTACGCGCACACTTGCGACACAGTATGTTATGTGCAGATCGTATTTGCGCATATTGTTTGGAATTTGTCACCGAAAGCTAAATGAACGGGAAAAATGGGAGAACATTTTCATAACGAGTTCTTCTAACTTTTGAAATTGTCATTTAATAAGGATTATATTCGTCATATTAAATATAATAGACAGTATTTAATTACGGATCGATAAAAATGAGAATAGTGTGTTTTTTTTTTTTCAGATTCTATCACGTATATTAAACTTAATAGCTGATACCCGCTCGCTTCGCTGGGCGCACGATAATATTTTATTGCGAAACCTATTAATTTTTTTTGATGGGACTATCGTAAAATCAGTTCTTAGTGAGCGTCTACATTGCGAAATGAGTAACTATACTAAATTTCAAGTCAATCGGGTGTACAGTTTTAGAGATTTCGTGATGAGAATGTCAGTCAGTGGTATTTCGTTTACACATATGTAGATTTTGAGAATAGTACATACCTTTTTAGTAAGGTCGTGCAGTATGGCTTCCGCCTGGCTGGTGAAATGCATCTCTTTGTTGTGTAACCAATGTAGTATGAAACGACCACCGCTCGCTAGAGAAGGCACCAGTGGGATATCCGTCTCGGCATTTATGGACGCCGCCAAGTGAAAGTGAAGACCTTAAAAGGAAAAACTATGCAATTAAGCAGATTACAGTTCTATAAATTAAACATAATAGTAATGGTTAGGTAGCACATTTGCTAAGCTTTTGGTAATTTTTCTTTAATGAATATAATTGTTAATAAAACATTTAAGCTTGTTTATTGACAAATTTTGAACATTTTCTGAGATTTTGTTGTAAAAACGTATACATTGCGCCATAAATGAATTACTAATTCTAAGTCTAGTATCTGGTATTATAAGCTTAATATGCTTGTTGCCAGTGTTTAAAGTATGAACATCTTTATTCTTATCAAAGCTATTTATGTTTATATGTACATACATTACATTTTCATAAATATATTGCGATACGAAAGTTAATATGTTTATTTCTAAAAAAAATTCTCTAAGGGACTCATTACAATTCAAGTTATAAATCGCCCGTACGGCTCTCTTTTGCAAAACAAATATAGCTTCGATGTCAGTCGCATTACCCCATAGCAAAATTCCATAAGTCATCACGCTATGAAAGTAACTAAAATAAACTAATCTGGCTGTCTCAACATTAGTGAGGCTTCTAATCTTTCTGTGAGTTATATTTAGGTAGTACCTAAATACAATTCACCTCAGAAAGAAAACATACATTATTAAACATTTAACTCGTATGTACGATTGAAATGTTTAGCTGTCTAAATGCTGTGTTTTATGGCGGGTACAAACAATTTGTATTTCAATGGATAGAACATATTGTTAGATTTTATAATAATAATCATTTGAATGCAAAGCAATTTAATTTAAAATAATTACAAATACCTGAAATTCTGCTAATTTTAACGTCACTTTTGTAGAGATTGACATTATCGATAATATCTTATTGAAATATCCTTAATAACAAGCAAAGGTATACTTGCATGCAGCCCTATTCAACTTAGGTAGTAATATTTTTTTTCATTTCTAGGTTACGTAGGTGGTTAAATATTCTTCTCATCGTGTGAATAAATTGTTTTTAATAGAATTAGGGTGATAAACGAGCAGTTCACCCGATGGTAAGTTCATGCTGTGGCAAATTTTCACAAAATATTGACATTCGACAAAAATAGTTGAAAATAATAAACACTGAAGAGAAAAATTAGTTCCCAAAAAAAAAAATAGTCGACTATATGCAGCTAGTAGTTTGAAGAAAAAATGTTTTTTTCATAGAGGTGCCCACAGTGTAGTGGCGGTGTAAAAACATCCACTACCCCATATCATCTCGTGGTGTAAAGTTACAGCCTATATATATCCCACTGCTGGGCACAGGCCTCCTCTCACTTCTGAGAGGGTTTTAGGACAAGGAAGTGTCTACTGCGCTGCCCCAATGCGTGTTGGCGAACTTCACATATCTTTGAATTTTTTTTTCTTAGACATGCACGTTTCTTCACGATGTTTTCCTTCACCGATGAGCATGTGGTAAATCAGCACTTAAAATTGCAATTAACAGTTTCATTGGTGCCGGCGGGGATCGTACCCGGGTTGTTCGCGTACTGTAAAATTTAGAGCTACCACGACGAAACCGAATAGGTGAAGGCCTAAGGCGCAGTCCTGTTACCATCGCTCGCGCGATCATGCGTACGTCCGACGACAATGATTGTGCGACCGTGCGTTCAAACATACTCATATCTGCGGAATGTCCTATTGAAGGTCGTGCGATCATGCGATGCGACCGAATTGTCTAATTTTCGTCGTGCAATTATCGACGCATCGTATAGATTGGACGATCGTCCGATCAAACACACTAATCAGTAATAAATGTCCTATGGGCGCTCGCGCGACTAAGGGGGCGGAGGCAAGCGAGGGGTTTTCGTAAAAATCTTCTTCGTTTTTCCGTACGTCGTAATACTGATTGTGAAATTCACTGCTTTGATTTCGGTTTTTATACAGTATATTATGTGGTGTACGTTTTCTTTTTTTAATGCTATTCACCATTAAAGAAATATTGCTCGACAGAAAAAACTGTGTATCTCTGTTAAGAGCCATTTCGAGAGTGATCGCGTTGCTCCAAAATAGGACACACGATTTCTAATCGTGCGAACGGATTCATCGGGCGATGAAATCGCATCGCATCATCAGGCGAGCGATGGCAATAGGACGGCGCCTAAGTCTAGCTTTGAACTGATTATGGAACTATGGGGTTTTGATAGAAAATTAATGCTCACCTCCAGTGTAGGAACTTGCGTGGTAAGGGTTATGAAAGTCATGTGCACTGTATGTGGATGGCAATGTGGGAATTGGTGCGCCGGGCTGCTTGGACGATTGCGCGTTCCGTCGTATGTGAAAACAGGTCCTGTAAAAATTATATTGTTATAACGCCTGGTTGCTATTATTAACCAAGTTCCAAAAACGAGAAGTCACTGTATTTGATGTGTGTTTTACATGTATGTCACCAATGCTCGGAAATGACTAAACTAGTTTTAATGATTCTTCTTTTATTAAATACGTTCTACTTCAGTAGTCCTGTATAAATTAAAAAATATCAAACATAAAAGTAGAAACATAGTGTGTGAAGTTTTTAATGTAACTGTTGAGACAACATTCTAATTGTTACTTTGAACGTGTGTCATATTGGTATAAGGGCTGAGATGATTTTTTTTATTTTAGGATTTTTGTTGTTCTAAAAAAAAAACATCAACTCATAGATTTCAAGGAATTTATTGAAGCTTTTTTTAATCTCTATATAATATAAAACAACGTCGCTTCCCTCCGTTTGTGCACTTCTTCGGTGATCTTTTAAACTATGCAATGGATATTGATGAAATTTTTTGAGTGTGTTTGAATGGGTCCCTAGATGGTTTAGATTTGAGACATTTCGACCGTTTGGTGGTGCTGTTGTCGAGATTCAAAGCCGGGGCGAATCGCTAGTTGAAGATAAAGCTCATATTTGATAAGGGTGTTAACATATTCGTATCTAAATGGGTTTAGCTACGAGTTTGATGAAAATCTGGGTTTTAAATCGCACATCGAAGTTCTTTCAAACCGAATCAGAAGGATTATCTATATAATGAGAAAGCTACATTATATAGCAAATAAGATAATACTGAAATCAGTATATTATGCTCTTTGTCAATCGCTGATAACTTACTGCATCACATGTTGGGGTAGTGCGTCCAAAATATATTTAATACAGATCGAGAGAGCACAGCGGGCAGTTTTAAAGGCAATGTTAGGAAAACCATACAGATACCCTACTGTAAGCGTATACAAAGATGCCGAAGTACTCACTGTACGCCAACTTTTTGTACTAAATACGTCCTTAGCAGTACATAAAGGTGTATTATCTTCCCATGATCACAAACTTCTGACTAATCGCAGGGTATACAAACTATCTATACCATCTGTCAATACTAAATTTGCACAACGTTTTGGCGACTTTATCAAAAGACAAATTTATAATAAGGTCGTAAAACATTGTAATATTAGTAATAAAAACTACATATCTGCCAAATTAATTTTATTGAAATGGTTGGTCACCCTATCATATGAGGAAACAGAAGAATTGTTAAAAACTGGCTTTTGCTAATTGATGGTATTTGTAAAATTATTAGATACATTTTGTTATTGTTCTAATTTTTTATTTAATTTTTTTTTAAATGCACATAGTTAATACATTTCAGTTTTATATAGCTTACCTTTGTTTTTATAGTTTTCTTTCTTTTTATGTTCAAATATTTAAAGCAATAAGCAATTCTGTTATTGTTGTTTTGTGTAAAACAATCTGTCTGATGAGGTGTATAAAATAGCGCTTAATGAACTATGGTCTCAGGTTTCCTCGATACAGGCTTGCCTAGTGAGGAAACCAACAGATATTACCCATTGTATTATTTTTCTTATTGCTAATAAAACATTTTTCATTTTTTCATTTTCAGTACTATCTAAGATTGGCATTAATATTCTAGACTTTATAGGAAGAATCACGTCTCTTCTAATCACGCCCATGAACATAATAGCATTTGGTTGTGATCTGCAATGTTCATGCATCCATGGATCGATGGATTGAGTGCTCGCCTGTGGCTCGTATAATAATAACAGAAAGCACAATGACGTAAAGACGTCCTGCACAAAAGTGAGCTCATAAACACAGAGGCACTCACTCGTCTTAAACATCTAGTACCCGATGTAAGGTTTTTGCGATGAAATCGAAAGTAGGCTAGAATGCAGTGTCAGACACAAGGACAAGCACAATATAACACCCACGGTATGATATAGGGTAGTCTCATACCACCACTACACAACTACTTTTGTTTATCTGTCAATGTGCCTGTAGACACCAGTAACACACATCAACAAAGGACTAAGAATGGACTAAGATAGAATGCCTTATATTGCAATTATATTGGCACACTCATCACTGGTGTGCGTGCGTGCGAGTGTGCGTTTGTGCGCGCGTGTGTGCGTGCGTGCGTACTGACTTCATGTGCTTGAGGCGCTGCATGAAGCGGTGCTTGTGGCGGTGCGTGGCGCGCTGGCGGCGCGGCGGCGAGCGCGAGTGCGCGTGCGCGTCGCCGCCCCACTCGTCCTCCGGCAGCAGCGTCTCCGCCCACACGCGGCAGATGTTGTCCACGCACGACGTCACCAGCACGTTGCCCACGCTGCCCCTGCACACCACCATCACACCCTTTTAACACATAACCCTGACACCGCTATTTCAAACATACGTTCTGCAGCTCCAGCGCTGAAAGTGCAAGAAAAAACAACTTAAAACGCTTTTTAGGAAGGTTATTATAAAAATAGTTCTTTTATTTTTAAGGCGAAGTAAGTTGCGAATGTGATATTTTTTTATTACAAACACAAAAAGCAGCTTATAGCGCCACCTAATCATCTTTCTGCATGTTGTTTATCATTAATCTGTTACAAATGAAACTCTGCCTGTATATAATTCCGTTCATCCACTACATTCCATCAAAAGTTCACTGCTGTATATAGGCCTCTCACATTGAGAGCCACGCTTGGAAAGCGGGTTGAAAACCGCATTGTTTTTATTATTTTGAGTTTTTATCAAGAATATGCTGCTGCACATCTGTTTCATTTTACTCACTCGCGTCTTCACGCGACACACACGAGTTGATATTTGGTAATGGATAGATTCTCTTATGCCAATGTACTATGAATAAAACCTTTTTTCTTCGTCTTGTAGTGAACGGTCGTTTATATTTAAAATTTCAATAAAACACAAAACTATTAAACAAAAGAAGTAGTAATTTATCAACAACTATTAGTTTGTAAAATGAACTTTTCATTAATAGAAAAAATCAATGAACGTTAAAAATTACAAATTTGAACATTTTTGTAAACCCAACCTTATTATTGTCTTATGAACATAATATGCAGCACAAATAATTTTATTCAATTTAATAATTCTCACGTACTTGGGCATGTACTTGCTGGTTTTTCGCCACGACAAGTGCGTAACCGCACGCGGGTGAGCGACGTAGACGAACGTATAATTTAATTCGGGCGATGAGTGCTCGCCGTGAGCCTGCGCCAACACTGAAATATGTACGCAATAGACCTTTATAGTTATTAATTACACTTAATAATAATATCATCAATATATCATTTAAGGTATTTGCTAAAACTAAGCATTGTCAATTAATAAATAAATAGGTTGTTCCGTTAACAAATTTAGGCACCAACTATAAGAACCACCTGTTTCCAATAGGATCATTCCAGCATGAGTGATTCGACATGTACACGTCCTGTACCGTAGCCGCAATATATGTGTCTGTGTAACCATGGTGGCTCACAAAATTCAACACATTATTATGAACTAAGTGTGGTTATTGCAAGAGTCAACTATGAGATATGCTAGAAACCAGAACTCATAGAATCCTACGAAGAGCGGTATAGCTATAGCCATCAAATGTATCAGACGTATAATAACCAGACTGAAGACCGAAAAAGCATTAATGGTGCCAGATGTCTGGTAATACAATGTCAATGAAGTTGATGCTAATGTCTTGCCTTATTTTATCGTTGATTTAGAATCTGTATATTGTAACGTTAATTTATACGGCCACAACTTCCACAAGACAATTAAGATGTGTTGATTTTGGGTTCGGTGATTTGATAATTAAAGAATCGTGGAAAATTATAAATGAGCAGGTAGGCCAAAATAAACGGCAAAATACAAAAAATAGAACTGAATCAATAAAAAAGGATAATGGCCAACGTAAAACTTATTGCACTTTTTTGTGATATTACAGAACCTCAAATAAAAAACTGATTGACTGATTTTTTTCTGTAATATTGCACATGATTAACAAATTATTTAGAATTTGACGCAGAAAATTACATGAAGTACTTAGATTACTCAAATAGGCTACTAACATCTATTTCTTTTTACCCATTAGAATATACAGAGCTAAAAAAGTTTATTACTAGCATGAAGCAAAAATCTACATTAGACATTTACGGTATGAGCATTAGGACATTAATATATCTTATTAAAAAAAAACAATAACCTATTCCAATTGATATTTATTGTGTCAATTCGTGCTTAGCTAACGACATATTCGCCGACGTACTCATACTGGGTAGGGTAATTCCACTTTTCAAAAGAGGGATTCCACAGAGCTCAGTAATTACAGGCCAGTTTGGATATTGCCGACTTTATCAAAAACATTAGCAGCCATTTCCAAATTTAGAATTATAAGGTACTTGGAAGAAAATAATTTATTTACAACGGCACAATTTGGATTTAGAAAAGGACGATCCACCGAAATGACTATAAGAAAAGTAATTTATTTCATTCTAGAATCTTTGGATAGCTCTAATAGACGTGCCCGTCTTTTTGTAGCCTGTCAAAGGCTTTTGATAGCTTGCGACATGGTGTATTGATATTAAAATTGCAGCATTATGGTTTTCAAAGAGCTGAACTAAATATAATGAAAACTTGTTTAAATAACCGTAGCCAATTCGTTTCAGTAAATGAGCAAACTTCTTCAGCGAGTACTGTGTTATAGGAGTACCCCAAGGCTCGATCTTAGATCCTGCTTTGTTGACTGTTTTTTTTTGTTGGTTGATTGATTAACGATCTTGTTAATGCAATGCTAGACTATACATATTTAAGTTTATTTGCAAATGATACACATGTTGGTCTAAGAGACAAAAGTATATCAAATTTAGAAAATAAAATTAATAACTTAATGCACTTATTAAAATAATAATTTGGTGCAGATGGTATTATCCTAAATTCTGATAAAAGCATTGTAACGCATTATCAATCGAGACTAGGAATTTATGGTAACTTGAATACAAAAGAAAATGTATTTTTAGGGTATACAGTAGATAGTACAATTAGCCACATAACCCACATTGACAAAATTTGTAAGAAAATAGCTAGTGGTAAGTATGCATTATTTAAACTCAAAAAGACACTCATATCTGTGTATAATGCCTATATTATTTGGGGTGAAGCTAGGAATATTATAGAAATTTAAAAATGTTAAAAACAGTCGGTAAGAATAATCAATGGTCTATAAAGAACGACAAAATAATGACAGTAGTTTCGCTATATATATAATAGTGGTTCATTAAAGGTACACGAAGATAAAGAAATACCGAAAAAGAAAGACGTAAATCAGGACAATCTGCGTAATAATGAAAAACGTGTCCTACCATCAAATAGATTAGTTAAAGTAAAGAATGAGCATCACTCAAAAATATTGATGTATAATAAATTAACAAAAAGTTTAAACAGCTATCGCAAATTTAAACGGAAACTTAAGTATTTTTTTTTTTAAAATAACTCATTTCACAAATTAACCCAATGCGATGTGCATCATCATTCTTGTGCAACGTGCAAACAAAATAATTTACCTAATTCTGTAATGTAAAGCGTCAATTTAACTAAGGTGTAATGTAAGCTTAGTACACTAATGTAATTTAACCTTATTTTAAAAACTTTAATTAATTCTTAGAACTGTAAATAATGATTTGCATGTAATGATTGTTATATTACAGCCAATAAATATTACTGATTCTGGTTTGACTAGTGAAAATTATTGATATTGAGGCCTGTATAATTTGAATCTTTTAACTTTCACCGAAGACCTTTATACCACTTACATAATAATTATTTAAATACAAATAAATTATTTTATTCAATATGATTTTGTTTGATTTGACCTATTAACTTGTTAGAAATGTTACTAAACAGGTTAAGTGTAGTTGAAATACAATTTTCATTTCATGTTATAGATAAAATATACGCTTTACCTTTGTTCTGGAACCAGATCTTAACAAGCCTATCGTTCATGCCGGACGTGGCGAAGAGCACACCGTCAGGCGAGAAGGCGAGGTGGTACGCTGGTGTTGCCGTATGACATTGCCACACACAAATCCAGCCCTGGTATACGAGAAAAATTAACCGATAAAGTTGTAGACATGTATATGTCTTAATTATTTATTTATATATTATTACAATATTCTTTCTGTCCAGCAGAGTTAACAAAGTTGACTTTCTACAATCGTTAAAGCTAATAGAAAACTATACAAATGAATTCCCATTCATGAATGATTATCTTGTGTCACGTGACAACATTGATTTTATTTATTACTGTCGCTACCAGCTTTTTACTTTTTAGCCGACTTCAAAAAGAAGGAGGTACTCAATTCGACTGTATGTTTTTTTATGTATGTTACCTCATAACTTTTTCGAGGTGAAATGATTTCGATTATTATTTTTTTAATTTCAAAGCTGGTGTTTCTCATGTGGTCCCTTATAAATTTGATCAAGGTCTGACCAGTAGCTTTTGAGTTATCCTTAATAATTTATATTGAAGTCGGTTGTACAAAAGTTTTATATCTACCCCTTGTTACTTTACTAAGCATACGGTAGGTCACGCAGAAAGTTAGTAATCCTTACTTTCAAACATTACTATTTATTTAAACTTATATTGAGTAGTTAAAAACAATATCATAAATATTGCACTAGTTTAGTAAACAGTGGTATTATCTTATCTGCAATAGATTTGTATTTGCGCCGAATTGTGCTTACAGGTTCGTCGTCGTCCGGCTGCTTGTTTGGTTTTTCGTCTCTATCTCCGCCAATTTGGAATGTGACACCGGAACTTGCTATAACAGATTATAATTAAGTTTTAACCAATTTAATAACATTCATAAATATTTTTGAGGATATTTGAATTAAAAATAAAATTAATTATAAGACCTAATAAATGCTACATTAAAAATATGTATTTTAATAGCAGTACTTCAAAATAGGAAGAGGTCCTGAATGAGACTTGGTGTATGTACGTTAGGCGACACATTCGTCAATTGTGAACCGATTGTGGTAATTCCATGTAAATATAAAGAAAACTTTAAATAGATCATAATTTTTTAATGTGACTATTTAGACAACATTCTAGTTGTTATCTTGATGTTTTTGTAATGTAATGTAAGTTCATTAATATTTCTTAGTCCACTCGTAAGGGTCAACAACAACTGATCATATTGTAGAGAAGATTTTGCGTAATCACAAAGCTTGGCATGCGAGGTAGGGTACTTTACATCTGAAATATACGAGGTAAAACCGCCATCTGCCTTAAGCTATGGCATATTTCTGGTATATAGTCGCGTCTGACAACCAGGCACCAAAATATAGGTTCATGAACTTTTTATACTTTTTTAGTACTATGATGTTTTTATTCTTATATTTTATTCGTATCCATTCGTTGATTATAAACAATTTATACACGTCAATAAAGATGTAAAAATATGATGATGGTAATCACAATATCTCTCGTAAAATTATAATTACTTAAGTATACTTTAAGTTCAAATATCTGATTGAGCGTAATTTTTTTTTTATAGGATAGGGTAACAAACGAGCACACAGTCCACCTGATGGTAAGTGGTAGCTGTGGCCCATAGACATCTACATCTATCCTCGTTTGCGAATCAAAATGCAGATGCGTTGTCACCCGTGAGGACTAAGTTGGAATGCCTGTTTTCCAGTAAAAAGGGCCTCCGGCCACCTGCACTCACCGAGCGAAACGCTGAGGTAAACCTCTACTTCACGCTGGTGTTTTGTGAGGTCGTGGTACCACCCCGGTTTGAGCCGGCCCATCCGTGCGACAGCAAAGGCTGTCGCGTGGCTCTACCACTGTCAATTATTTAATTGCTGTGCAATTTTAATAAAAGCTTGTATTTAAAATGGTTTTACGGTTTTTCATTTAATCGAGCAAACAAACAAATTACTTTTCATAACAATGCGGAATAATGACGGTATAAAAATTCAACTTATTACTCCATATTATAAGTAAATCTTCGCAATCTTTTGAAAACACTAAGATCTTGATCTTTATTTAAGGAAGTATCGACAAAGTAGAGAAATAAATGTACACGGTTAACATATAAAGTCTTGAAGGGATTTTATTACTTTTAAACTTTACTCTTCTTTTACGTAATAAAGATTGAATTAAATTTTGTTATATTTAATACATCTATATTGCGCCCCATATAGAAGTAAACTGTATATAGGTTAAACATTTGCGAGCATTACGTCAGTAATTTCATGAAATCAATAAAAGCAGGCAGAATGCCAATTTAATTTGGAATATGTCTGCTAAAACTATCAGGTCTCATTCAGATCATACTCAGATTTGGAATTCAAAAATGCCAAATCCAATTTTTTGTGTACTGCTGATTTATTCCAATTAATATAATATTCTTTTACAATAATTTTATAAATTTAGAGGATTGAGTACACCGATATACAGGGTTATTTTTCAAAGAGCCAAATTGTAAACTTAAGTTCAAATATATAAATAATGATATACTGTTATTGCAGTTTTTAAAAATACGCGTAAATAAGGCTTCTTCTTTTATTTGAAACTATCCCAAATTGAATGTGATTTATGGGCAACAACTACGCGTACGCGCCCTCCTCTGTGTGCGATTCAATTCACCACGTACTGCCGACCGATCGACCGTTACGAATGTGTGCGTGCGTAGTAAAATAGTAGGCTTTAGATATTTTAATTTAAAATACGTGGTAATGCATTATTTTAACCAAATAAAAAAAATGCATTACCACGTATTTTTAATTTAAATAATAAAAAGGACAGAATGTTTGAGATCTTTTTCATTAATTTTTCTTCCCCATTCGCCTATATTACTTATTTTGAATTTTCTCTAGGCCCGTTATTGCAAAATAACCCTGATATGTACGTACTACTTTTAACTTAATGATCAAGTACAACTTCCGTTAGAAGACGTTTTTAGATTATTATAATATGATAGATTTAAGACAATCAATGGCCACTTAATTTAAATTGAATTTAAATTTAGTGAATTTTATGACAATCGGTTCAGTCATAACGAAGATAAGCTCGGACAGAAAAACAGACAGACATTTTAATTTTAAATGTTTATTCATATAAGACAGTTGTTTCGATATTACAGACAGATACTTCAATTTTATCTTATGTATAGATAAAAAGTGACAATATGAAATAAGAAAAATATGCTATTTTTAAAGATAATTTTAACGGTGGTAGAGCCACGCAGCAGTTTTTGCTGTTGCATGTATGGGCCGGCTCGAGCCGGGTTGGTACCACGACCTCACAGAATACCGGCGTGAAGTAGAAGCTTTGCTTCTGCGTTTCGTCTGGTGAGTGCAGGTGGCCGGAGGCCCAATTCCCCCCCCCCCCCCCCCCCCCATCAACATGGTAGCGGAATTACACGAAGAACTACCCCAGGAGGGTACCAGCACCCCTGGAGAATCCCTCGCTGAGCATCCACGACCATGTTATTCCGATCCTGAGCGTGGGTGCTCAGGCTGCCCCGCGTATTCTGGGGGGGGGGGGGGGGGCAAAATTCCGCTCAAAAGCATTACTGCTAGGGGCAAACTGAGCAAGAACACCAAGGCGACCCCTGCCACGCTATCCGTGAATTTCTGCAACATCAGGGGACTTCACTCTAACCTAAACGCCGTCCACTACCATCTCGAGACGGCGAAGCCGGCCTTGCTCTTTCTGACCGAGACGCAGGTTTCCTCTCCGGCTGATATTTCGTATCTCTCCTACCCGGGGTACAAATTGGAGCATTCCTTTGTGCCTCGGGCTGGAGTTTGCGTGTATGTCAGAGAGGACATCTGTTCTCGACGCCTCGGCAGTCTTGAAGGTTCGGACCTGTCCATCCTTTGGCTACGCGTAGACAGCGACGACCATCCGCGCATCTACGGGTGCCTCTATAGGTCCCATAGCGGTAATGCCGAAACAGACCGACTCATCGACCACGTCCAAATGGCTACAGATTTCTTGCTACAACAGGTCCCATCCGCAGAGATCGTGATCCTTGGCGATTTTAACGCCCACCATGCCGAATGGCTCGGTTCACGTCTAACCGATCATGCGGGGAGATCTGTTTATGACTTTGCCTTGGCATATGGTGTGACACAACTGGTTACTTCGCCTACGCGGATTCCAGAAGTGGAGGATCATACACCTTCCCTGTTGGACCTTCTGCTGACCTCTCATCCGGACGGATATCAGGTTTCCGTCGATGCCCCTCTCGGCTCTTCGGACCATTGTCTGATCCGGAGTGTGGTGCCACTCACGCTCCCTTCGCGGTTGCGTTCTGCAGGTTGCCGCCGTGTTTGGCATTACAGGTCGGCGGACTGGGACGGAATGCGGTCCTTCTTTGCATCCTACCCATGGGGGCGGGTTTGCTTCTCGCCGGATGATCCCAGCGCTGTTGCTGACTCTGTCACTGATGTGGTGCTACAGGGAATGGAACTATTTATTCCATCATCTGTGGTACCCATCGGAGGCAGATCTCAGCCTTGGTTTGGTCGCTCCTGTAAGACTGCATTACGCAGTAAGCAGGAGTGTTATCAAGCCTGGGCTGCGGCTTCGGCGACTCGGGATGTAAATACCAGCACACTTAAAAAGAAGTATAACTTCGCCTCCAGGTCCTTCAAGAGTTATTGCCAAGGCAAAGTCAGAGCACATAGGCAGAATTGGCGAGAAACTAGTTCGCCTTCCTTCGGGAACCCGTGCATTCTGGTCTCTCGCCAAGGCTGTCCAAGGGAATTTCTGTAAGCCATCACTACCATCTCTGCACAGGGAGGATGACTCACTGGCCCATGACGCAAAAGACAAAGCCGACCTTTTAGGCTCCCTTTTTACGTCCAACTCGACTCTTGATGACGGGGGGAAAACACCGCCGACCATCCCGCGGTGTGAGTGCTCCATGCCGGATGTGCTGTTCTCACAGCGCTCGGTTCGCAAAGCACTGCTCTCCCTGGACATCCAGAAGTCGAGTGGGCCTGACGGAATCCCCCCAATTGTGCTGAGGACGTGTGCTCCGGAGTTGGCACCGGTCCTAACGCGTCTTTTCCGGTACTCCTACTCTCAAGGCGTAGTCCCGAATTCATGGAAGACAGCTTTTGTCCACCCGATCCCTAAAAAAGGCGACCGCTCAGACCCATCCAACTATAGGCCTATCGCGATCACCTCCTTGTTCTCCAAAATAATGGAATCCATTATTAACTGCCAGCTCATCCGGTACCTTGAGGATCACCAGCTGATTAGTGACCGCCAATACGGTTTTCGTCAGGGTCGATCAGCTGGTGATCTTCTGGTCTACCTGACCCATAGATGGGCGGAGGCAGTAGAGTCCAAGGGGGAGGCGTTGGCCGTTAGTCTGGACATTGCGAAGGCCTTCGATCGGGTTTGGCACAAATCGCTTCTTTCGAAGCTCCCTTCCTATGGGCTTCCCGAGAAATTGTGCAATTGGATCACCAGCTTCCTTGCAGATCGGAGCATCAAGGTCGTTGTAGACGGTGCATGCTCTGACTACAAGCCTATTAACGCTGGTGTTCCACAAGGCTGTGTGCTATCACCAACGCTGTTTCTTCTGCATATCAATGATATGTTGCTAACTGGTAACATTCATTGCTATGCGGATGACAGCACTGGTGATGCTCTATACACCGGCCGTGCCAATATTTCTCGGGAAAACGTCGCTGAGTACCGGAACAAACTTGTGTCTGAATTCGAGTCTTTGCTGAACAAAGTCTCGGATTGGGGGCGACTAAATCTAGTCCAATTTAATCCTCAGAAGACACAAGTTTGCGCGTTTACCGCTAAAAAGAACCCTTTTGTCGTATCTCCTCAGTTTCAAGGCACTCCCCTTCTTGCCTCAGCCAGTATCGGTATCCTCGGAGTCGACATATCGAGTGACGTGCAGTTTCGTGGTCACTTGGAAGGGAAGGCCAAATTGGCCTCTAAAAAGCTTGGCGTGCTCAGCAGAGCGGGACAGTATTTCATGCCGGCACACCACCTGCTACTTTACAAGGCGCAAGTTCGGCCTCACATGGAATACTGTTCCTATCTCTGGGCAGGGGCTCCCCAGTGCCAGCTCCTTCCACTTGACCGCATCCAACGCAGAGCGGCTCGAATTGTCGACGACCGAGCCCTTTCCGATCGGCTCGATTCATTGGCACTGCGAAGAGATGTTGCATCCCTTTGCATTTTCTTTCGCATATACCATGGGGAGTGCTCTGAGGAATTGTTCGGATTAATCCGAGCCGCCAAATTTCACGAACGCACATCGCGGCAGAACTCCCGATACCATCCACACCATCTGGATGATTGGCGGTCCACCACTGTGCGATTTAGAAGATGTTTTCTTCCTCGCACGACCTCCTTGTGGAATCGATTACCATCAGCGATTTTTCCGGACCGATACGACTTAGGGACCTTCAAGAAAAGAGCGTACTCCTTTTTAAAAGGCCGGCAACGCATCTGCGATTCCCCTGGTGTTGCAGTTGTTCATGGGCGGCGGTAGTCACTTACCATCAGGTGAGCCGCATGCTTGTTTGCCCCCTCTCCTATAAAAAAAATAATAATAACAGCTTTGCTACTGGTCCTAGGCTTTTCCAAAAATACGCGTACGGGCAAGCTTTACTTCAATCATTTGGCCACACTCACTACGCAAGGCAGCCGGTAGTTGGTGAGCGCTGAGGCCTCGCACTGGTAATGCTGCTGCTCCTTTTTACCAGACAGAGGAATTTGGGTTCAGAGTTTTTGGTCAGATTTTTTTGCTATTAATCGGTTCTTAGAGACTCGTCCATCAATACTCACTCTGCTAAGAGCACCGTGTAAGTTTGGCACTAGGAAAAAAACATGTGACATATTCTCTCTTACACCCCTTTGTAAGATCAGATTTTTGCAGGGTATCGTGCTTGCGTTAATTGGCACTAGAATGGTGGTCAGGGTCTGATGGATTCCCAGCTACTTTCACTCGATATAAATTTTTAGTATACGATGTAGTGTCGTGTGTGACGAATTAGTTTATGAATGTACTAAGTGAATGAATGAATGGGTGAGTGATTTTTTACTTATTAGAGGTATTCTTGTTTCGGGTTTATTTTTATTTCAGTTTTATTTTCATTAAATATCCTTTGATGCTTTGTTTAATTTAAGCAAGATGGTTTGATATAAGAAATATGCTTACGTTGACTGTCATCCTGGTACAAAGACGCCTGATGCCATAGCTGTAGTATCTTGCTGCCGGTGAGCAAGCGTGTGCCTTCGAGGTTCCAAGATAGCGCGGTGATTGGACCATCCGCCACCAGTTTGCCCGTTTGCACCCATCGATACTCCAAACCCTAAAACAATTTCGATGGATACATTATTATCGATAATCGATATACTAATATAATGAAGAGTTAATATACATTTTGTTTACAAACGTCACATAGATGAGTTATTTTGTAGAGGATTAAATGAATACACCAATTTTTTTCCGTAATAGTCGATGTATTTAATCTTTATCTTTATCATGATTCGAACCCTGCACGGAACAAGAATTTGTATAGCCTACAAATAGCATAATAATATAGAATAGCACGAATGGGTCGGCTCGACCGGGGAAGGACCACGCTCTCACAGAATACCAGCGTAAAATAGCAGTTTAACACTGCTGTTTCGTATGGTGACTGTAGAGAACCGGAGACCCTTTTACTGGAAACGAGGCATTCCATCTTAGTCCTCACGGGTGAACAACGCATCTGCATTTTGTTTCGTATTTGAGGATAGATGTAAATATTTACGGGCCACAGCAACCACTTACCATCGTGATCTACCAAACCATTTCTAATTTGTTTTGTTTTTGTTTTTTTTTTATAGAAGAGGGGGCAAACGATCATGCGGCTCACCTGATGGTAAGTGACTACCACCGCCCGTGAACAACCGTAACACCAGGGGAATTGCAGATGCGTTGCCGGCCTTTTAGAAAGGTGTAAGCTCTTTTCTTGAAGGTCCCTAAGTCGTATCGGTCCGGAAAAATCGGCGGTGGTAAAAAATTCCACAGAGAAGTTGTACGAGGAAGAAAACTCCTAGTAAAACGCACAATCGTGGACCGCCAAGCATCCAGATGGTGAGGATGATATCGTGAATTTTGACGCGATGTGCGTTCGTGAAATTTGGCGGCTGGAATTAATCCGAACAAGTCCTCAGAGAACATTCCATTCACTCCCCGTGGTAAATTCGATAGAAAATGCAAAGGGATGCAACATCCATACGCAGTGCCAGTGTATCGAGCCGATCAGAAAGAACTCGGTCGTCGACGATTCGAACCACTCTGTGCTGGATGCGGTCAAGTGGAAGGAGCTGGCACTGGGGTGCCCCGGCGCAGACATGAGAACAGTATTCCATGTGAGGCCACTTTTTGTGTTATTAATTGTGTAACATACACGATTGTAAGCTGGTATTTAAACAAAAAGTATCGCTGGGTTTCTTGCTGATTCTTCCCAGGACAGAGGTTTTTTTTTTTCGAACCAATGGTAATTAAACAAAAGAGTGACTTTCAATAAGTATTATTTATAATCTATACTGAATAAAAAGTTTCTGTTTCTGGTGGACTGTGTGCTCGTTTTTCACCCTATCCTATAAAAAAAACAGGCATTTATCCGAAACCATGAGATCTTTCTGCTACATTCTTAAATCGTCTCTAACCATACCCATCGGATAATACTTATAGGGCGCTACCATACGGTACCATATTATTCATTCCTACGTCTGAATAAACCAAGTCAATATTAAATGATTTTCATATAAACCGACATGGATTAACGTCACTGAGGATTTTGTACCCTTATATTGGCATATCCACACTCCTCAAAATTCACGTGGTTACATGGCCAGAGTACGGGGCTACTGTATTAGAGGCCTTGGCTTAGAGTATAACCAAACCAAAACCTTGCCGCAGCCAACACATCCTGTGAACAGTTTATAACTTTCGGATAATGTTTGTAGAATGTTGCCGTAATTGAAATCTGTTAGATGATGATCTAACAGATTTCAATTACGGCAACATTCTACAATATATGAAGCTATGATGATAATCGTTATCATGATATTTTATACACTTCATTTTCCACGAGATTAGCTATACTTAATTAGCCTTCTTTAAAAGTATTACACGTTTGATTAAAAAATTACATATTCAAATATTATAATCTGTGAATGTAGTTCACTGATAATTTAAAAGAAAAGACCATAGATACATCGAATACATAAGGGATTTTTTTTTTAATTTTCCTAAAAAAATTTTTTATATACCACGTTTTTTTCATGTTCCTACATTGTCACCCGATTCTGAGCTATGTTCAAAATTTCAAGCCTCTAGCTCACGGGAAGTGCTCAAAATTTGAGTTGCAAGCTTGCAAGTACAAGATTTCACCCGGAACGACAGACAGACAAACAAACAAACAAAAAGTGACTTAATAAAAACGTGGTAAAATGCATAATCTTTTAAAGCCTTAAATTAAGTTCGATGCTTTATTCGTTATATCTATTTATATTTAATACATATTATTCTTCTTTTTTTCCCTTTACCAATTTTAATACATGACCTTCAATGTTTTTTTCTTGCGTTAACGCATCACTGTTTCTTTTTTATATTTAAACTAAGAATTAATTTTTGTTAAAGATATCACTGCTTTCTTTTTAATTTTAAGAATTAATTTTCGACAGAGATATTGGTGCGGTTAGCTTCAAGTACAGTCAGCTCGGAACTTACCACACAAATAATTTATCGACACTTTTTCAACAACGAATATCAACAATTTCCAAATTCCTTTGTACATGATTAACAGTCAGCGTTGCCGCCAAATTTTAAGTTTCTATGTATCTCAGGAAGTCGATGGATGCAGGTGGCTCAGGACCGTGCTTTGTGGCATTCCTTGAGGGAGGCCTATGTTCAGCAGTGGACTTATGAAAGGCTGTAATGATGATGATGATGATGATGATGATGATGATGTAACCTTAAAGTAGCGTAGGTTTTTGATGAGCAAGTCATTAAGTGATAAAAAGAAATTTTTTTTTATAGGATAGGGTGACAAACGAGCACACAGTTCACCTGATGGTAAGTGGTTGCTGCGGCCCATAGACATCTACATCTATCCTCGTTTGCGAATCAAAATGCAGATGCGTTGTCACCCGTGAGGACTAAGATGGAATGCCTCTTTTCCAGTAAAAAGGGTCTCCGGTTCTCTACACTCACCATACGAAACACAGCAGTGTTGAGCTGCAATATACGCTGGTATTCTGTGAGAGCCCGGTCGAGCCGACCCATTCGTGCTACATCTATACTACTAATATAGCTGCAGCATGGCTCTACCACGTAAAGAAGTACACTCTTCAGACCTTAATAACTCAAGAAGCATAATCGGTTTCTTAAAACTGAATACTCAATTCTGGATACTCAAGTGTTCATTATAAGGTATGTAAATGGTATGTAATTACAAATATGTAGTTTTAAATATCATAAATCTTGGAGTTATGGGAAGTTCGGAAGTAACTCAAAATGGATCGTAAATATACACAATGCCGATGCGTCGCCTTTTTCTTTTCCAAACTTGGCGGACAAAATGTTTTGTGTCTAGATCTATTATTAGACAAATTTCGAAGTATCCAAACCAACAAATTTTTAATTTTTTGGGCATAGAAACACTTCTTGTGCGGCTCGCAACTCAGCAACCAAACGCTGCGCTGCCGATCAGTAAGAAGTATTTGAAAATATTAACTCCGCGGAAATGCATGACATCGTTCATCGCATACATAGTGGTTAACGTCGAGAAGTAACGTAGTAACGTAGCAAGTAGCAACCCTATCAGGTAGTAAGCTGATACATTATATTCAAACATCTTATGTAACAAGTTCTTTGAATATCTTATTAATAAACCTATGTATATACACGAGTAACGTATTCATGTATACATATAGATGTTTATGTAAGATTTTACACGTAATATGTAATATGTAGATATTTTGTTGGAATGGCTTTAACTAAAATGACTTATAAAAATATTGATTTTGCACTTACTTACTTACTTATCTTCGCGCACAATCCCTGACGGGGTATCCAGAGAGAACAGATCGCCAAGTGTCGACATTTTGTAATTAACGTATTTCTTAATACGTATATACACACAATAGCAATTTTTCGGAAATTGTCAATTTTCAACAACACGAATTAATGTACAACATAGTAATAATATTACAATTTGAAAGAACATTAACTTTGGTTAACTTTATAACGTATATACTAGATAACTGTTATAAAATTATTGCACATTGTCATCGGTTCGTAATACGTCTGCAAAATTATTTAGAAGTCCGGACATCTGAATTATAAAATTTCGTTATATTCACCTTCCGTGATTCACTTTGGTAGACGTCATTTTAAAACCAGCCAAACGGGCGAATGGCGCTTCTGGTCTTCTGGTTTTCATACATAAATCCAAAATTCATCACCGGTAACAATGTCGTAAACATGCTGAGACAAGACTGCTATAAATTTTGTAATCATGTCACAACACCATACCATGCAGGCTTGCTTCTGAGCATCGGTGAGGTTGTGTGGCACCCAATACGAAACTATCCTCCTTACGCGAAGGTGTTCGTTTAAAACGCTTCCCAATCTAATCTATATGTACAAATAAATAAAATCGAAGTGTCTGCTTGTAATGTGGTAAAATTAAAAATGTTGTATAACTGACATCAATATATATATAATTGATAGGTGATTTTTTTTAAACCGCTGGACCGATAAAATTTAAATGAAATTTGAAAGAAGAATTTTCCAAATCGGTTCAAGCATCTTCGAGAAATCGGTGTAGGTACATACATAAAAATAAAAGATTACGACGAATTGTAAACCTCTTCTCCTTTTTGAAGTCAGTTGAAAATGCATATGAAAGTATATACGGTACTAATAACAAAAAACAATTTTTTAATTGTTTTTATGATGGCTAATCTCCTGTTTGTTCCGGCTAAGTAAATTTTGACGGGACTTTTACTGGCAGGTAGCTGATGTAATAAGGAGTAACTTAAGATACTTTTATTTTAGAACAATAATTAGGGTTCCGCGCAAAAAAATACGCATGAAATCGTAGTAAATTCCACGCGGTCGAAATCGCTGAGGACAACTAGTCTGCTATATGTGCTGAACATAACCTTTTCATACGTAATTCGCTTATTTTTTTCAATGAAATTTTTCATTGCTTTCACGTTTACTTTCGTAACACGCGTCACAGGGCAACCACTTATTTTTTCATCTCTCAAAGTTAGTCCTGAACTTAAATCTGTAAATGACCTTAGTCTA